TCCTGCTGATTTTCTGCTTTGTCCTCCTGCCTTTTTATGTTGAAGGGGAATATGGCTTGCTTTGTCTTCTCCCACTGAGAAAATAAGTGTGGGTGGGTCTTTATTCACTGTAACAATGGAGTGCATTTATTCATTTATCATCACATGTAATGCACATTAATCCACCTACTTGTATATCACATAACCAAGCCTAAGAATGGAGGAGCAGGTAGGTAGGGAATAGGTTCAGTCTCTGCAGGAGTTCTGATTTGCCTTTATACTTGCTGAACATATGTTGTCTAACGAAACTCTTAAACTAGTTTGAGTTTAGCACTGTAAAGCATTAATTCTTACAGTGACATCTCTATTACCCAAGTTAAAGCATACATCAAAATAAATGAGCCGTTAAACAAAAAGATGTTCACGTCATCATTTATACTTTTAGGAACAAATGGTAGTGATTAAACCCAGAAAACAAAGTGGGATAATTGTTGTATCACATTCAGTTAATAAAATGATTAGTCAGTTAAAATGAAATTTAAAGTTCCTGCTTGTAATTTTTCAGCCAAGGGGAAAGGAAATTCAGGCTGCTGGTCTGTTTGGACGATGTCCAACTGTCCAAATGTCATGCGTGACAGTAAATTAGAAACATTCCTACCTTTTAATTACTGGAGTCTCAACTCTAACAAGCCCCTGCCCCACCCCCTGTACACACACACACACACACACACACACACACACACACACATGCTCAGGCAGTCATCAGAACAGGTCAGAAGCTGTGGACATGACCAGGGCCAGGCTTTGTTAATTGGTTGCTTAACAAGGCCCAGGGAGCGTGTCACCACGGCCACTGTGAAGGCCCCTGGGCTATGTGGCAGCGCTGCTTGTAGCCGCCGGGCTTTGGGCTCACACTCCCCAGTAGCACTAATTAAAATATGCATGACTCCTTCCTCTCTCATGTGGTGGCACAGGGTTAATGTGTGTACACCAGCCCTTACAACAGTTTCTCAGCCACTCTGACTGGCTGACTTGAGAGGCTAATGATCCTGTAGATTGGCTTACTGGCTGTCAGACTCGTTTGCTGACTACAGACTGTTTTCTCTCTTGGTTTCATTCTCACTTTGCATGTCATATTCTTTGGCTGATATACTTGTCACTAGAGATGCATCAATTGCGATTTTCTTAGCTGACCTGCCATTTCCGATTTTAGACGAATTCGATCTAAGAACTGTAACTGACAGCATAAACAGTTGTTTTTGTACATTTTCTTTAATGAAGAATTGTAATTAAAATATATTTTTTATTCAAGTTTTACGTTTTCTCTCTCGTTTTTCTTTTACACACCTCCAACTAAATATGAAGTGCAGTTTTTGTACTTTTCCAAATACAAACAGGTAAACATTCATTCCATGTGTAGCCAATAATTCTCTCAATATGGACGAGATTTGGACGTAGTTTTCCTTCTCCAAGGTGTTTCTGTAAGTTCGTCTGTGCTTTTTTTGTACAGAAAGAGCTTCCAATGTGCGAGTGAGCACACGCTCAGTATAGACATGACGCTATGCCTTTGGCCTGCGCCACTGCATGTGCGACGTGCACTGCCATGCCCCTAAACCTGACTGCCACAGAATCGGATATCTCCGTGATCGGCCGATCACTGGTCAACAGCGATCACGCTGAAAACCGTCCATTTCCGATCGGTGCATCTCTACATGTCGCACACGGCTTGGCCCCAAACTCCCCAGCTTACTTGTTCACTTTTCACTTTGTTGCACTAAAACTTTTTCTTTTAATACATGAGGTCAGAGGGGCTGTGAGTGTTTGTGCGAATAGAAATGTGTCAACATGGGGAAATAGGCTTCGATTGGACTGTCCTGTTCAAGTGTGAGTTTTCCTCCTGTCTGTCAGTCCCTCTCACAGTGCAGCGATTGGGTTTTTGATTATTTCATCTCTGTTGCAGAGCACCACTTAATAAATAATGACTGTCTGATTGATTTCTCCCTCCCTGTTCCCTCTATTAACACTCTCTCTTTCTTTCTTCACAATTTTTCATTACACTTTTTCCCCCTCACTCTTATTTCATATAAGGCATAATCTTTATTCTGTTTCTTTCTCTTTTCAGTTTTTTCCCCATTGCCCCTTTGCCAATTCTGTTTTATCCTCCACAGCATGCCATGATGCTCCCTGTTCTTACACATCATATCCGGTACCACCAATGTCTGATGCACCTGGACAAGCTCATTGGCTATGTCTTCAAGGAGCGCTGCCTTCTTCAGGTAAGGCAATGTCGAGACAGCAGCTTGCTTATGAAGTGACGCCACTCTGTGCACTGCATTATTCAAAGGTTGACATAGTTGATAACTAGCAGGAGATATAACAGTAGTCAAATCCCCACAGTTCTTTTAGGAAGAGCACAGTCTACAGTTTACTGCTGGTTATATATCCAGATAAAAAAAATAAACATTTTGTGCTGGGGCTTCTTGTGCACAGAGAGGTAGGGAGGGAGGCAGTGTTTGGCTCATTATTGTGCCCATTCCACCTCTGCAGGGATAGTTCAGGTGGAAACAGGGGCTCAGGAGTCAGCTAAGGTAACCCACACAACGGCCTGAGTCATATCTCTACAGCAAGCAGCCAGGTCTACTGTGAGTTGCAGTGACAGTAATCAGGACAACAGCAGCCTCCTCCGTAATGCCAGTGCTCCTCTGTCAGGTCCACAGCCCCAAACTGTATGCTCACGGAGTAAGCCTCGCGTTTGCCTCCAGGTATATTGAAGAGCTGTCATAACCATATACTGTACATTAGAAATCAATGTCCTGTGCATAGTTAAAAATGGAAAGGATGCGTTAGGGTTCCCTCAAGGCTCTGTGTGCATGACTGCTCAGTTAACTGGGTGTGTTTGTTTTGCCCATATCAATCAGTGATTGTGCTTTTTGTCCTTTGTACAATGATGACCTGTCATTATGAGTGCTAAAACACAAACCCTAACTCGACAAGCTGTGGCTCTTCCATCAAGGAGACACCCATTTGATCTTGACATCTCTGTGTTCTGAGGGACGTTAATGGATTTATCCTTCTCTCTTTCACTTCAATTCATTCCTTTCAAAACAAAAAAACAATCAGTTTGATCATGACAGCTTGCGCACGGGTCTCTGCATTGTGTGTTGTCTGTCTGTTGTGCAGTTCTATTCACTGAGGTGTTAATACCATGACATTGCTATTTATGTATGTATGTGCGTGTGTGTGTGTGTGTGTGTGTGTGTGTGTGGACAAAGCCAGGGCTGTCAGCAGTTCAACACTACTGGGACTGAAATGAACCAAGTAGGGAGCCATCATTGCTGGGCTTGTAGCACCTTCCTCATTCACAGCACAAACACATCAGCAGCTAATGTCCCACAGTACACACACTGTCTGCCCAGATAGATTTGGACAGAATGACTGCAGGAGTGCAATGATGCTTGTTCAAACAGCCCTCTCCGAGTCGGAACAGATTACAGAGCCGCCATCACTTACCATTTGCCACCGCTCTGATGGGATGATCACCTTTAATGAGTTGATTGTTTTCCAGTGGTAGTCCATTCATTTCTAACACCAGAACATCTGGTACCAGACTTTGATTGCCTTATAAATTAATTTTACTTTGATACTAGGTTTGTGTTCTTGGAATGAATTAATATGTAGTTGCATATATTGCATGGAGGAATTGGAACATTTCTAACCACAGTATTGGTACTATGAAACACCTTTAAAGAAATACTCATCTGAAAATCTGTCTTTTCAGTGTCTATGAAACGTGGTTCCAATTTAATCTGCACGATTAAAAAGTATATCCACTAGGAAACAGATTAGGGTTTAATGATCCATGGCAGAAACTCTACTACGGCTTTTGCACAAATGTAAAAGGAGGAGGTTACAGCAATGATGTTGAGATCACACCAGAGAAAATGTTATGTGAGGTGTCTAACAGGTCCCAGGATTGAAGTCACCCTAATTAGTCGCCCCCTGGTGGCTGGTTTCAGTAAAGGTCATAAATGCCACCTCCTCCATGTTAGTGGATGGAACATTAGTCAGATTAAAAACTCAACAAAAGTACAAATCAAACACGTTTTTACAGGAGGTGATTTCTGTCATATTCAGTAGCTGTTATCATGGTGATCTGTGTACAAGTGGTCATTTTACTGGTAAGCTCATTTTTAATAAGTTATTTGATATAAAGGTGTATTTTGGTTGTTTTGACAGCTTTGACTGGCGGTCTGATGCTGTCACTCCATTTCTGGCCACTACTGCACAGAATCTGGTTGCAAAAAAGCAAGATGGCAGCAGCCATTACCCTGATATTTTGGCTGCACTTCTGCATAGTGGTGGGAAGTGGCAACACCGCGTTCATCATATGTAGTCAATGGTTGATAATGAGTTTTCAAAGAGGAGTGTGGAAGGCTCCATGAATGCTTCACTCTGGCACGAACATATGAGAGCAGCTCAGCCACAGCTACCCATGATGCCCATGTCAACATGTAAAGCAGTATCTGCAGCCTTAGGGGTGGTTTGGGAGGCTTCTATGAATAGTTTGATGCTTTCAATTGCCATGGCATCTTGAGAGAAGGGGCCTGAGCTGCTGTGTAGATTGAGTTGTGCTAAAATACAGAAACTAAAGATTCTGTAGTTGGACAACACCAGTTCTTGAACCAAACTCCTGAATAGGGACTGGGCTTGGGGTGTCTTTTGAGCACTTTCCCAGGGTGATTGGCACTGGCCAAGTTCAGGAATGCTAAGCACTATTGGGCTGAGTGTGGTCAAGATGGATTTTGTCCTGAAGAATAAAATGATCGCCTCTGCTCTAACAGCATAATATACAGTATATACAACAAAGCTAACACCACTGGTTAATATAAAATGTTAGGTGATTACAAATCTTGTCCTTGATATTTTTGTTTTTAGCCAAAGGCCACCAAAAATTGAGCCATTTAATTTGAAAACGCTTAATTAACTATAACAAAAGTCAGTATATCCTTCATTATTTCATTTTTTCCAATGTTTTGGATGTCCACCTTTATTTCAGATGATGGATTTAATCCTCTTGGGCTTGGATGTTACCAGTTTTGCACATATCTGTGAGGAGAGTTCCTCCTGTTTTTCACAGATGATTTTTTTTTTCAGTTACTCTTTGCTAGAGAGGTTTTGTCACTTTACCTTCATCTTTAAAATACTCCAAAAGTGTTCTGTTGGAGTCAGATCAGGGGGTCACACTTGATAGATTTCACTTTTTCCTTTTTTTTTTAAACTCTTGTTTGAGTTTTGCGGTGTATTTGGGGTCATTGGAAAAGTTCTGTCATGCCAAGCCCCTTGCGACTGGGAGTCATCTTTTCATTCACTGTTTGGGTATACAAACATATTGACAGTGCTCTCTGTGAATGCCATCTCTCCTACATCTTTTGCCCCCTACACACTAACAATTTTCCTAGATTCTCCATTTGTTTTGTAATTTTATTATTAATTAAATGTCCAGATTTGTGGTTCATCATTTATGAAACTGATCTGAATATAATGCGGTGGCACCTCCATTTTATTGGTCTCCCAGGTGTGACTTATAGCACGAACTGTAAGATCACATACCCCACACTTCAACTTAAGAAATACAATTATTATAAAAGCATACAGTTTTAATCATCTAACATTATTAGTTTTAGACATTCTAAACATTTTGGTCTTTGGAGTATTTGAATTTGCACCTCAGAATTTTCTGTTCTAGCTATGAATTAACATGATCTCTACTCCTATTTAAATTGTTTTTCATATTTTCCAGGTCTGTATCTGTAAATGAAAATTTTATGGTATAATCACAGTACTATACTCAGTCAGGAGAACCATGAGATGGTTGTTTGATTCTCTTTACAGCAGCATACCTGTTATTGCAGTACCGAGTGGCAATGTGATATTAGCATGAGGCAAGTGATAAAAGCCTGGCAAAGCAGGAGAGTCTGCACTCAGCTCCAGAGGAGCAATGGCCTTTTGAAGCGCCTCTTTTGAGAGCCTCCCTGTTAAACATTTAAAACTTAAGGGGGTGAAGCTGGGGGTTGTGTGTTCATAGTGGTGGCGGCGGCATGCTTCTGCATCCCCACACCCAGCAGACTAGTGGTGGAAGAAGTACTCAGATTGTTTACTTAAGTAAAAGTAGCAATACCATGGTGTAAAACTATTGTTACAAGTAAAAGTCTTGCTTTGAAAATGTTACTTAACTGAAAGTGACATACAAGCAAGCAGCATAGGTAAAAGTTCTCATTATGCAAAATGGCATTATTTTATTTATTATTATATAAGTATTATTTTACATCAAGGAGCAATAAATCTTAGATTATACTGTAACTTTCTTTTAATAGCCTTTTTCTGAAAACTAGTAACTAAAGTTATCAAATAAATCTAGTCAGTACAAAGTACAATATGTTTCTCTGAATTGTAGTGAAGCTGAAGTATAAAGTAGCAGAAAATGCTGAAAGTACAAACTGTACTTAAGTACAGTACCTAAGTAAATTAGTTGCTTTCCACCTCTGCACCAGACCTTTATAATACCTACCTTCCCCCTGTTGCTTCATCCCTGTGCCTCACTTCTGACCCATGCTGACAGAATGCTGGGCATCACAGAGGATCTCAATAATTTAACTGTACAAGACCTCAGCCCAGCTCTGGTATTACAGGCTTTTATTTGGGTGCCCCTGTGAATGTGGCTGTGACTCTCTGAACAGAATATCAGGGTATTTAATTTGTTTTGTTATTCATGGCAGTGCATGCCTGGCTGTGTGATTGAGGTGTCCATCTGTTTCATTTGGAGCTGGCCTGAATACCATTTTACAGGCTTTGAATATTTAAGTATAACTTATCACAAAAAATAATATTGTTGCATATTACAAAATTATGCAAAGCATGTTCACTTTAGGCCTAAATCCTATATCAAATGCTGTATATTAAGCATATGGCCTACATTAACAGTACAGTGGTGGCACATCAACTAAAATTAGCTGACACAGACCCAACCCAAAGCCTGAGGTCACAGCTTTATGCTTGTTGTGAGTGGTTCACAGCAGGCCCGTTATATCTGTTGATTTATAGTCCATCGGTTGATTTCGCCACAGCAACACCAAATGGACATAATGAATGTGATCAGGCTGTATAATTATACTTCCCACACAATAACCATGTTTATGTTCTTTGTGATCGATGGCAGTCTGCCAGTATAGCCTCAGTGAGCAGTTACACTTTGTGGAGGTACACCAGTGGCGCCTGCAGGAATATATTTTACAGTACGCACAAGAACCGCCTGCCTTCATGAGAAAAAAAAAAAGCTAAGTATCTTGTTTTAACGAGCAGCCTCTCTTGTTAAAACACAAAATTGTTTATTTTGTGTTAAAAAAAGACAAGACACAATGGTTTTCCTCTTTTTTTTTTCCACCTTTAACTGTGCTTCTTATTTATTCCCACCCAGAGACATCACTGCTGCACTGCCCCCTCCCAACATCACCATGTGAATCATGCCAAGTAACTAATTTGACCAATACCAATTATAAAGCACTAGAAAAATGTTAGTTGTATTTAAGACAACATTTTTCATTCATTACTACTGGCATTTACAATCACATTTTGACTCCAGCAGGCGTGGCACTAGGGGTGACCAATCAGATTCTGGGGGTGGCCAGTGCCTCCCCTGGACACCTCTTTGGCTCTGCCCATGATTCCGACAAACTGGTGCCCTGCACAGCATAGAGTGAATGACAGTAGCACACTGACGTTAGCGGCGTCGTTGCTCATTCAGTTCTGCAGCCTTTCTCTTTTCGACACCTCCCATACCAGCTTTCCACACGGTGACCAGCATTGTGCTGAGGAGGTGCGGTCCTCCAGGATCAGTTCTCTGACACTTAAATTGACTCACGATAATTACTCAGCAAAATAATAATAATTTTCTCATTATAATGAGAAAATACAATATGTCGTAATAAATACAAGAATTACGTCTTAACATGAACACATTATGTAAAAACCTGCTGGACTCATGCATGGAGTAGAAATGGTATGATCCGCTCCAGGCATGTGTGGTATCATATGAGATGACTCTTTAGGCCATAAATATGAAAGTACAGTGTATATTCTGATGTATACTATATGGTGATCATGCAATGACTGTCAGTTGACCAAACCCATAAAAAATAAACTAAAAACACACAGTGAGTGCAGGATTACAGCTGCAGGCACCACTGAGATACACATCTGCTGTAGTGAAAGTGCTGCTGCAGTGTACTCTAGGTTTGGAAGGTATACTCCAACCCCTTAACGCACAACTTTGAATCCTCCTCTATTAGCATATCTATTATGATGACTAATGAACTAACCTCAAATATTAAACTGGCCCCAAGAATATTTTGGTGACTTGTGGCAGCAGAAATACGATTTGAGCACAACACTGACATATCACCTTTTTAGTAGACAGTTGTGGTGAGGCTGAATGATTTTGCTGCTGTTAGTTTGGAGCTTTGAATCCTCTGTGTGATCTAAATACCAATATAATGGCATTGCACAGGCTCTGTTCATATAGTTGACATTAAAGTACATTCAAATGCAGAGTCGGATCAAAATTAAGTTTGTGATCCCAGTTTGTTCCCTCATTTTTAAATTTTTTTTTTTTTTTATTTACTCCTGAATCCTGATTTACCTGTGTACTTTATTCAGTGATGCAGTATATGGTGCAATTTGCACATCGGTTTCCCTGCATGTGGGTTCAAGAGCAGCGCTCCTTGCAGTCAAGTCTGCCGTTCTCCACTGAGCAATGATGTTTATTTCTGTTTAGCCAAAGGCAGTTGAGCAGCAGCTGAGGCAGTGATCACTAAATCCAAATCCCCGCGATACTTTACGCAGTCATTATGTTGACAGGAGCAGTTGCAAACGTCAATCCTCTCCACAGATTCTGCTTAAAAGCCAATACTGTTGCTGGATGATGTTCTTAACTGTGAAGGGCCAGCAGTGTTTACAGAATAACTGATGTGTTTTTGCTTGATACATTTTCTTTATAGTACCCAGCTCTGTAGTTCAGGCTGTGTAGTAGGCTGTCATTGACTTGTATCTGACATCGCACAATGGGGGGGTTGAAATTGGAAGTAGGGATGGTTGTTGTTGTTTTTATTTGTATGTTTTTCTTATCAAACTGTCAAAACGGTGCAGAGAATTGCTAGATTTCTGCTTGTGTCGTGTCAAATAACTTTTTTCTTCCTCAAAAACTGCTGTTCCTCTTAACCACAGAAAAAATACAATTGTTGTTGAACTTGTCGTCTCCATGTGCAAGGCTACAAAGCTTGAAGGCTTCTTGAGTAACTATAAATATTGAAACCTCTCTCTTAACGTTTTACATATATATCTCATTGGAGCTTGAAATTGATTTGAAGTTGGCTGAAAGGAGACAAGCATTTTGAAAAGCAAGCCCAGGGGGAGAGTAGTTGGAGGTTTTTTCTTTCCTTCTTTTGCTGAGATTAACATTCTCCTAATGTAAGATTGATAAAGGCTTGACATATCCTACTGAGCCCTGTCTCTTTCCTTTTTCTTCCTCAGCGAGTTTGAGATGTTGAGCCGCAGCAGTCTTTCTAGGCATAGTAGTTTTTGTTCTCTTTTCAAACACACCTGAATGACGACTAATACGTTTCCTTCAGGGTTATTTTACCCTAAATTCCCACTTTTGCTTATCTTTACAGGTTTGTGAGTTCAAGTCATTCATTTTCCTGCAGACAACTTTCACTGTGACAGATAGGCAAGAGAGAGATTTTCTGTTATTAGCTCACCCGTGTGTCCCTCCCTCTCCTCTGTTCTTTCGAGAAATTGCTTATCCAACTTTATCGGACTAATTTGACCAGTATTACTGTTGGTAATTAGTCTTTAGCCAAAAGAGGAAATTGAATGGATTAGAGTGGAGGTTTTTCACAGGGCCTTCATTTGGGACATGTTACTGATGTCAAAACATGGTCTGTTTGGCTTTTGTTGCTCACTGCACACATGACTGACCCTTTGTGTCAAGGACTCCCAGGAGCTCAAGGATCTAAGTTTAAGAACTATATCTAAAAGCCTTTTAGGCGCATTTTATTTCCATTTTGACTACATCTGAAGAGCCGTGACGATGAGGTAAATTACAAGATTAATGACTTTTTCTTTGAGTTACCTTTTGTGCGCTGGATAAGACAAAAGCACAGTTTCCTTTCATGCTCATTGTAAATTATTACTGCAGCACTGGAACTACAGTAACTATAGACTCAAGCTTTTCTGTCTTAAATGCAGGTGAAGTTCCTGATCTCCTAAAAGGATTTCTGAAAATGGATCTGAGGTTGAAAGTGTTAAATTACCCATATTTTTTAACCCCCTTATTCTTTTCTCCAGCTGGCCATGACTCACCCTAGTCACCACCTGAACTTTGGGATGAATCCCGATCATGCCCGCAACTCCCTTTCTAACTGTGGTATCCGCCAGCCGAAGTACGGAGACAGGAAAGTCCACCACATGTACATGAGGAAGAAAGGTTGGTCATGTTTGCCTGTATATTCAGTTATCTCCCTGTCAGATGACCACTCTGTCTATTATGGTCCCTAACCTTTCCTCCCTCTGGAATTTCTGCAGGAATCAACACATTGATTAACATCATGTCTCGTCTGGGGCAGGATGACCCTTCCCCCTCCAGGTAAGCTTCTTGCAGGCGCCTATCTGTTCATGCTATCACTGACCACAGGAGCAATCAAAGGGACAGTTCTTGTGATTAATATACCCGACAGGCCTGCTGACAAGAAAATTAACTGCACAAGGAAGGAATAACTCAAGGGAAATGAAATGAGCTAATTTTGAGAGCAATGACTGCGTAGTATTGAATGTGAGCTGATGTTATTCTCAGAGCATTGATGAGGTGAGCAGCTGTATGTATGAGTGTGTGTATATGCCTGAAGTCTTATCTTTCCTGCTACTTCGACATCTCCACCTTTCCTCTGGTCTCCTCCCCTCACCCCTTCCCCTTGCCACTCATAGGATCAACCACAATGAGAGACTGGAGTTCTTGGGAGATGCTGTTGTCGAGTTCCTCACCAGGTGAGAAAGCTCCTGCACATCTTTGGTAGCCACGGCCGCTAATTGAAGCAGACTGCATCCTGATCAGCCCTTCTCTCTTTTCTTTGCCTCTCACTCCATTCCTCCTTCTCTTTCATCGTCTGTCAGAACTATGCTCTTCTTCATATTTTATGCTCATTCAAGGCAGTGATTTACTGGTAATTGGAACTGGGATGTAATCGCCACCACCCTATCTTAACAATTTAAAATTCTCCATGACAACTTGCAATTAGCTGTCTGGAATTGATGTCTGGAATGCTGACTATGTTATTGACTCCCAGGTGAGTGCAGACGTTGCTGCACAGCACTTAGCTAAGCACAGTGCTAATTATATGTAGATATTAATAATCTCACACAATCCCTAGCAAGCTAGCACCCCCCCACTGTGCATCCACCTTCTCGTCTGAATGTATAGTAATACTAAAAGATAGCAGGAAAGGGTTTTTTCTTCTGCCACATGGTGTAGTACTCACACACACGTTGCATTCTGACATCCATTTGCCAAACAACATAACGTCTACTACCTAAATCGAATTTGTAACCCTCAATGCAAAACTTCCGCAGCAGTGAACACTCAGCAGCAGGATTAAACCTTAATAGGAGCTGACACTGACAGGACACTGCTTCCACTTCTTTCGCAGCAAGAGCAGTGTTACAAAGATGGTGGTTAGCTCTGTTTGTCTGGATATCTCTGGGCATGTTTCGCCACTTCCCCTCCTTGCTCTCCCCATTTCTCTGCCTTCCTTCTTTGATTGTTAGCATCTGAACAGACATGTTTGGCCTACACTCTGGCCCTCTGAATTATTTATCAGCCTCTTGTCCAGTTAAATGGGTACAGCGGATCCAGCCAAGTGCCTTGTGCACCACCAGTGCATATTGCCCTTGGAGGCTATCTGCACCTCTGCTGTCTAGCCAACAGAATATTATGCACATTTAAATAGCCCCAACACAGGGAGTTGGTGTTGAACAGAGAGGGGGGGTCATGGGATTACTTCTTTTTAAAAAGGTCAGCAGATGTTTTAAAAAAAATGTCCACTTGCAATATTTATGATCCTTCTTCTGAAACAGTTTATTTTAATATTTTATCAGAAAAAATTATGGAACTTCTGGCATTTGTTTTTGAAAAATAGAAGTAATAAAGGGGTGAAAAGACAAACTAGAAATCATCTTTGGAATTGCAGAGCACAGCAGTACACATCACTCCTGTTTTTAGATTTTTGAGCCATGCATTTTAAGAATGGCGGCTGTGGAACATGTATGGAAACACGTGAGAAAGGGATTGCAGGTGAACATCAGAGTTACTGGCTATGCAGACAGTGGGGTTGACGCTTCAACGCATACTGAAGAACATTTTTGAAAGGCCATTTTCTTTATGCCTCGCAATAAAGGAATTTCCATCTTTGCTTTTGATTAATAAACTCGGGCACAAAGACGGTATTTTTGTACCTGTTGCAGTCAGCCTGTTAGTAAGACTTGCAAACAAAGCAGCTCTGGTCTAATTATTTTGCATTAAATCCAAGTGCTTTGTTTTCACACTAAGATCACAATACCCTGACCAATAGACCTCTTGTAAATCTGGAAAACAGAATGCCACCTGCTTTCCTCTCTTTGCATTGATTAGAAATGACTGAATTAAATGGGCTGTTTTAATTCAAATGAAATCAAATGACACGCTGTGGTTAGGGAGATGCTGGACTGTAATGAAAATGGAACCTGTTCGCCTGGAACCCAGCTGTGGAACCACTGAAGCGTCTATGGCCATTTCTGGGTTCCAGCACGGACCTGGAAAGGCTGGAAATCTCTGGAAAATGAATTAGGTGGTCATGGCAAACTGAGTAAAAGCGCAATGAGGGAGAATGACATGAATATTTCACTTTTGTTTATATGAAGAATAACTTTCATTACATTTTGTAACTCTCATATTTCTCTGCTACTTTTTTGTTTCATATTTTTCTGTTGCTTTGTAGAAAACTCTTTGCAATCAGACAAGAAATTAAATTACAGCCACAAGTATGGGATATTTTACAAATGTGAGATTCAGCGACTTGTTCTTCAACTGCTCTAATTTGTATTTTGTTTCTGTCCACAGTGTCCACCTGTACTACCTTTTTCCTAATTTAGAGGAGGGTGGCCTGGCTACATACAGAACAGCCATTGTACAGAACCAGCACTTAGCCATGCTCGCCAAGGTAATCTTACTCCTCTAACTCATAACAAGTCCTTCCTCTGCAGGTCAAATTAGTGAACGGTCTGTGAACTGACAGAAGAACATGTCTGAGACAGTGTTACTATTTTGTGTGTTGCTGTTATGACTTCTTTCTAAGGAGACACCAGGGATGAGAGTAATTTCATCTCATCTTGCAGCCATCTTTACCCCCCCTCCTTTTTTTGCCCCCTCAGGTTTGTAATTGGAGTTAAAAGGTTGTTGTTTTGGAGGACTAGACTAGTGTGGCTGGGGTCCCAGTGGGCCCCTAGAGGTCTTTCTGAAACACTCTCCAGTTCCTGTTATCGCAAGGCCCTCCCTTTCTCCCTCTCTCTCTCTCACTGGCAGCATTGTAGCGCCAAGCTGCACTCACTGGCACATTTGTAAAGAGCACAACAATAATTGTCCCATGATGTGGAGAAAGCAATTAAAAACTTCAATCTTTCATGTTGCTCCCTGCTGAATACAAAGATGCAGCCACCCGAATCTGCATTAGTGCTGTGCAGAAGTTTGGCTTGTTTCAATTTGCAGTTCGCAGTAAAGTGAGTGTGATACAGTGTTCAACGCTGCCAAGTTGTTTACCAGGCTCCTCTAAAGCCGTCTGCTCAAGAACACTCGCAATTATCTTTCAAAAAATATCTTCAGCGAGTGACGACACAATCCTGCACTTCACTTGGAAGGCTTAAAAGTCAGAACGGGTTTTCTTGGAGTTTGATTGTTTATGAATTGTGATTTAATTTGTGTGTGCAATCATTGGGGGTGGGATACCTCCAACAGTTATCAGCCATAATTAAATAGCACCCTGACTGTTTTTTGTTTGGTATTTGCCTGTGGTGCACTGCCAATAAAGTCAAGTTGGGCTACTTTGGAATTGGCTCGGAAAAATAGCCAGAGAAAGTTTGACAGACCCACATACCAGAAATGGTGCATACTTGGTATTCTTCTTCAGGAATAATTTGGTTGTTCAGTTGGGAGAGTTAGGGTTAGCTTGAGGAGGTAATGCAAGGCGGAAGCTAAATTAGATTACAAAAGATGTGTAATAAACAAAAAGCTCAAAATAAGGTATTGAAGTGGAGATGGAACTAAAAACTAGAACCATGCTCTAACTATGATATCTGTGGAATATTCATAGTGACAGTGCTGGTAATACACGGTATGTAGAACCAAAGACAATGTGCACAATACTGCACAGTGAGGTAATGGATTGAGGTTGAATAGATTAATATACAAAGAAATGTGAATCGAATATATTTGTTCATACAATATAAACACACTCACAGGGAGAGGCATGTGAAATACAAGTACTTAAGACAGAGTAGAGTGTATGTACCCGAACCGAGCCCAAGGGCACCATGTGTTACCTGAGGGTGCCAGAAATAATTTTCGGGTGTTTCATGCCCCTTGGTCAAACTGTAGGCTGGATGACTTGAGCATTTAATGGCTTAATATGTGCTTCATTTAATGATAAGTGGAAAAACATCGTACAAACTCAACTGTGCCGGGCTCATTCATTATACAATATATGCTTGTTGGGTCCGGGTTGTGCTCGGATGCCACCCTCGTGGGCACAGGTCAGGTTTGGACAGAAATATGCAGCCCCATCCATACTCTAAGACAAGGAAATTAGGTGACATTACTTGAGACTATGATGTTGGACGTTGCCTTAGTAATATTACATAGGGTGGAGAGTCAGTGGACACTGAAGTCTTTGTAGCGTATTCACAGCATGAATGCATGTTATTGTTAAACATGATTTACTATGAAGTAGTTCACAGTTTATCTTGGGATCATTTCGGGTGTCTGTGTGCGTGTGCCATTCTGATCTTGTGCATGCATGTATGCACATGTGTGAACATTTTCCTGTGCTGGCTTAATGTATCATGCCACAGCTGGACAGCACATGGCTACATCTGTCAGTGCCACGAAGTAGAACCTTTTCCAGCAAGGGCAGGCAATCTGTCTCATTTCCCTCGAGTTTCTTTCTCCCTCGGTGAACCTATGAAAATGTGCAGTGCCAAAACATGGCATCACTTTTTCAAGGGGCTATTACTGAGGTGTCAGTGGCAGTGCACTAATATGAATGTGTTTGTTTTTTGCAGAAACTGGAGCTGGATCGCTTCATGCTCTACGCTCATGGACCAGATTTGTGCCGGGAGTCAGACCTGCGCCACGCCATGGCCAACTGCTTTGAGGCTCTTATTGGTGAGATTCTCACAAGGCAAAGATGGAATTGAGGATTGCATGTGTAGTGAGCAAAATATGTAAATCTATTCATACAAGGATAGATCTATGTATAGTGGCAGCAGATGTTGTCTCAGCTATTATAAACAGAACACACAGGTGTGTATGTGTGTGTTAAGCTGTGTAAATAGGTGTAGTGGATCTGCTATTAGGCCCTGAAAACATTACGCAGCTTTATTGATCTCAGGAGATGAGGTTTGACCTCTGGCTGGAGAGGCTGTCCCCAGAGCTCTGCTCTCCTTTTACCTCACCAAACACATACATAAGCTTGCTATTCGTCTTGCGAGTAGATCAGTGATAGAGTTTGTGCAGTGATTAGAAACTTGTGCTGCAAACCACACACACAAAACGCACACACGCAAAGTCTCTTGGTGGGGACAAGCTCCCTCTCTCCACCCAACCCCATGGGCAGCGCTAAGCTAAGCCTCACTCCTGGAGAGCTGCAGAGTTGGCAGCTTCCTTCATCTTATCATCATCTTGATTGAACCAGTTCAGCCATTGCTGCGCTCCTCTGATGATAGATACAGAAAGTGGGTGGCTTTAAAGAGATCTTATTCGCCTCCCTCTGCCTGCACCAAAAAACAGCAGTGCACGAAGCGCGGCGGGAAAAGTGCTGACTGGCACCATGGTCCTTGACGGCCTCGGGGCCCTGTACTTGTTACGGGTTCATTATCAGCAGAGACAAACTCATAATCTATTCTGTCCCATGTGAAGGCAGCAAAGCCCTGACGCTGGATGCCTTTCTTTACTTCTTCCTCATCCTCTTTCTAGTCCTTCTCTCCTCTTCTATCAGGAATTTCAACTTATTAAAAGTGATGAATAAACAGGGATGCAGGCATTAAGAAACCTGAGAGAAATCCACTGTCAGAGCGCACCCTGTGGCAATGGGTTTTGGATCGCCAACTCAAAAATATGGCACCAGAGACACACATGTTGAGGCACAAATCAAGCACACATTCAGTACACAGCACTTCAAGACAATCAGTTACTTGTACTGAGGACGCCTAACGTTGTTTCTTCTTTCACTGAGACTTGTCATCTTCATTTCATTTTTTAGCTCAAATGCTTCCTTTAAGACCTTGTTGTTGAGCAGTCTGTCTCCACACTCCTTTGTCTCTCACTTTGTCTTTATGTCCCATTGTGTTCCTTTGTCTCTCTCTGCACCCCCCTGTGATCTAGAGTTTGGCTGTTATCAGGTGAAAGATGTGCTGCACAGATGATGAGTCATCCTGTCACTCTGTCATCTCCTACCTCACCCTCCAACCCACCAACTCTCTCACCCAGCACAATTTTCTCCTTACAAGACAAATTCAAATTATTCACACGTGCCGTAGGATGGTACATGGGGCACACAAACGCTGCTGTTTCATCCTCGCGCACGCCTTTCTGCCTGACAGAGATGTCAAACCACCAGTCTTCCAAAAGCAGCAGGCACCATATCAACAGACATGCACTTGCAGATGTGTCTCTGCTTTGTCTGGAGATTTTTTTTTTCCTGTTTAACATGATTTTTTTCCACCAGTGTGCACATGTAGAATTCAAATGGGCCTCCTCCTGTTCACTCCCATTTTATAAAGCTCTGGAGGAATCTTTCCATGGCCCTGGCAGATAGCTTTAATGGCTTACTGTGCATGTTTTCTGACCTTTGTTTTATTTGTTTCTCTGTCTCACTGACCATTGATCCTGGGCTATGTTGGAAATGGCAGATAATCTCCTGCTTTGCATGGGCAAAGCTTTCCCTCCACGGAGCCGAGAATGTGTCTATCTCCTAACCCTGAGGCAGGGCCATTCTCTTGCTCAAGACAGAGAGAGCTGGGGAGAGAGACAGAATGGAGGGAGAGCAGTAGAGGAATGGGAAGCAAAAGCATCTGCAATGCAAATGGGTGCCCTGCAACCCTGAATAATTCAAAGTGTTGAATGGAAATCTTGCTTTTCTGATCCCCTGTCATTAACTTCTGCCAGAGTGGGCTATTCTCATTTGGGCTCTTCTGGCCTGTGCACCTCCCATTCTGTAGTCCCCTCCCTCCCACCTTCTTCCTCTGTACTTTAGCTCTTGCCCACTTTACCTCTTCGTCTTTAGAAAATACGTTCTCCCTTTGCTTATTCATAGAAATTCTTGCATGCCTGTTGCCCTCCCGTTTCCCCGTCAGGTCCTCTTCACCGATAAGCCACATTGCTTCCTTCCTACGAAATTGCTGGAAAAGAATTGAGAGAAGAAGAAGAAAAGAGGCCCCACTCTGTTTTTATGGCCCTAATTTCCTTGTACAGTTGATCTGTGGATTATACGCTGCCAGCAGCCATGGGGGATACAGATGGTGAACCTTTGTGAGGGCCCTCTCTAAGCTCTTCCTATTAAAAGAATGGAGAGAAAGGATTATCTCTCGCTTGCTGAATATCAGATTCACGCACAATGCAGCCGGTGTAGTCACTGAGCTAGCGCTGCTCCCTTTGTTAATTGCTGCAATGGTGGCTGTGGCGGAGTTGGTTTCTTGCATGCCCTTTTGTTTCTTTATCTCACCTCCCATTCTAAGCCTGATTTTTGAAAAGTAAAATGCACTTAGTCTGCCTCTGTTGTGGTTGTAGTGAAAATTCTGTTTTCATGTTTTAGTTTCATTCATTTTTTCAACTTTAATGTGTTGCTTTCCGTGTCCGTCTGCTGCTTCAGCCCCCATTGAGCTGAGAGGGAGCGGCTTAATATATTATTTGATGGATTAGAGCCTGAGAGTTTTTGAATAATTCATTCTAGGTTATTAATGTGACTGTCAGCCGCTGGTGTTTCATATGCCCCTGACTCTGGGTTTTTATTGGTCACTGAAAGCCCACAGACAATGGAATTCTATTCCTAAACATAACACTCTACAGTTGGTATGTCTGTCTGAATTAGACTTGTGACAGATGTGGAGATTCATTAGTTGCTGGCCTTTTCTGGCCATGACCGATATTCTCTACACACAGTACTGGATGAAAAGTTGGTTAGAGTTTGCAAACTGTTCGAAGCCTAACAAAGGTTGAGCTTCATTAGGCTCTGGTTCCATTTTTAAGCCCAGTTCAAAGTCAGGAAAATACCAGACTCATTAAAGTCCTTCAAGTTAAAGACTGCAAAGAACAACTGATTGGTTGATCATTAATCAAAATAGCAAAGTTGGATTTTAGTGCATTGCCAGTCTCATGTCATTCTTCTTACATGCTGAGTTATTTCTAACATAAGGGATTTGAACTAATGATGCACTAAATGCTCTTGAACCAGTCCTACAGCAGTGATTAGATCAGTGCCCATTATGTGTGAGAAGGGCATTAATCCAGTGCACACTCAAGTCCGGTGTGTTTTTTTTTATATGCATATTCTAGGCAGGTGTATCTCAGTTGTAGACTTTTTGCGTTTTGTTCTGGTTTCCTGGCAGGGTCAACAATTCAGGCGGATTGGATGTGCCAGAGCTCTGAACCTGCACAGTGTTTTGGCCAGGGCATGATGTTACTCCAAATGAGCTGCTGAGAGGTGCTAGCATATAATTTGCCATTTGACTTGGCTGGGTGACTTTGTGTGCTGTGTGTGTTCAGGGTGTGAGTTGCAACTTTGCAGGCTGATGGTGCGGCACAGATATCTATTTAATGATTGCGGAAAGTTGCGCGATTGATTGGATTGCTTTGGGGCACACTTTCTGCACAGACAGCCTGTTCGACAAGTGTGTTCTCACTAGAATTAAGTGCATATCTTGGTTTCGTCTTCTGCGACCATTTGATTGGCACCAAAGGTGTTGCTTTGAGATTTTTTTAATACCTTTTAAATCCCTTGGGGCTCTTCTGGTTTCTTACTGCCTCCCTGCTTACCCCAGACTTTCTCCTTCCTCTTGGAAGAAGTTTTGAAAATCTAATAAGAAGCAAAAACCTTTGGTTTCAGTGACTTGGCCTCCATTTAGGGAACTTTCCAAATCTGCTGTGTCATCAAAACATAAAGAAAACTGCCTCCCAGCCACACCCGCATCCCCAGCCTCAGTGTTCACACATATGAGTACATGAATGATAGCTGAGACATTCAAAACTTGATCTTAGGAAGGAGTTGTTATCCTCACACAGCTGGTCTCCAGAGAAAACATCTGGTATATAGCAGCAGCTAGAGCTGAGGTCTGCATTATGGTAAAACCACATCTCAGTGTTGATGCTTAGTGGATAACATCCTGTGAAGAACCTCTCCCCTCTCCAGAGCCTCCTGTGGTCAGCCTCAGTGAGACGCTCACCCCACCATGCCAAGATTTCATAGGCCTCGCTTACTGACTTGCACACATCTGCAAGGGGTTTAGTAGCATGCTGGGTTTGTGAGCTTCCGGGAAGAGTGTAGATTAATAGACTCTGATTTATAGTCGTTTTATGTTGGGCTTTAAATGGTCATTGCAGGGAATTAATTTTTGCCTGAAAACCATAGTGGCTGTTGCCTTCCAAAATTCGTAAGCCACTTTCATTATTTTACCACTCAATTCAATTTCTACATTAGTCAGGGGTCTCCGAATGAATGACAGTCACTTGCTGGGTGAGACAAAGTTGTCAGGCTTAATCAAATTTTACAAACATTTGGGCGATGACTGGTAGTAATTTCCCACTCTTTTTAGAAGGGCATGCAAAGCAGATAGAGCGGGGTTGTGTTCGCCTTTGTGCGAGGTGATTTGTTTGCATTTCTTTATGGTTTTGGTTGTGTACGCTGCATCTTCACTACAATGGCCTGTTAGCCACCTGAAAGCAGTTTCCTTCCCCAGATGATGAATCCGTCATATGTTTTTGATGTCGTCCATGAAAGCAGTTTGCCCATTTAGATTTGCAGCCACGCCGCGCCCCATTTCCACTGGCTCATTTATGCACATGATAAAAAATGCTGCACGATTGTATACCCAATTTGCCAGGTGGTTATTGCTTTCTAAATTGAATGAGCCACCCTAAGTGTGATGGTTTGAAGTTGTATGCAGCTTAAAAAGGCACCATGATAGGTCTACTGATGTTAGGAGGAGCAGTAGAAGAGCAAAACAATGAAACCCACAAAGGAGAGTTGACTTGTCCAGAGGAGCTGACTATTACAGGAGAATGAGCTGGAGCTGCTACATATCACACCCATAGAGAGAGAAATTTGGGACACTTGTCTTATTCTTTTGTTGGCCTGACAGCATCTCTGCCCAATTTGGGACCAGTCCTCTGTTTGTTTGTCCCTTGTCTACTGTGTGTGTTTGTTGATGCATGCACGTTGTGCGTTTCCTCACAATTCAAGTTGGTTTCAGCACATAATGTGTGTTGTGTGGATAACTGCACATGTAGGTCAGTGTGTAGGTGAGTGACGAGGAGGACATTTTATCCACACGGTCCATGAAAGGCTTTGAGCATGAAGTACAAAAGTCTGTATGTGGCTTGTGTGTGTTTGCCAGCCCCCCTCATACCTGCATCTGACACAGGTTCAGCCTGCCACTCTACATCTCAGTGTGGTGATGCAACTATCCCTAATTCTCCTCATTCTCGTCCTCCTCCCTCTGGGCTCTGACAGGGAGGAGGTAGATCTGCATGTGAACCCCGAGGTCATTTCTCCATCAGAAAGCAATAAAACTGTACTCTCACTTTTAATAAAGCAATTATAACTCATTGCTGAGTTCAATTAATTTAAAGTTTTCCATTAGGAGAGAGTCTGAAATTGCCTTAGAATTGCTAGAAATGTTTTACACCAGCAATGCACACATGGGTTGACATGCTTTTCACAGTTACTTGAAATGTGTTTGGGTTGAAGTTGGATGCTTGTTAAACATTTCATATGTTATAAAAAGCATCCAGCAAATCCTCTGTGCAGTTTACACACACTTGCTGATTACATGTTGTTGTGTTTATTGTGTCTTAATCAACCTTAGTTTCTTGTTTTTCAATTTCTTTTTTTCAGGTGCTGTGTATTTAGAAGGAGGTTTGGAGGAGGCTCGGCAGCTCTTTGGTAGACTGCTTTTCAACAGTGAGGTAACTGTCTGCCTTTTGCCATTCACTAGTTTTGTGTGCAGGATGGATATTTACATAAGTGAGTGTGTGTCTTTGTTACGCTAGATGAGATTTTGGGATTATGATTTGTGGAAGACACAACTTTGTTTTCACTGATCTGGTCTCTTTTCTTTGTTCAAACCCACACACTACATGCTTTGGCAGAGTACCCATCGCACAATATCCTTGCCAGGCTCAGGACCTGAGATCTCCCAAAAGCTTGCTCTATCCTACTATACTACTGACTAGGTGTGGATTGTGTGTATGGTCATATGCACAAAGATAAAACAGTGAGACTGAGATAAAGAATTGGATAAAGCCATAGTAACAAAACAGTCTGATCATGGCTTGTATATTTTGCAAAAATAAACTGGAGGTGTGGAACATTGCTGTTTGCCAGTCTTGCACAGGGCTCCCGCTATTGTTTGCAAGTGCGTGTGTGATCCACACGCATGAATAATTGATGAATGAATCAGTACTTGCATTTATCTTGGTGAGAAATGTTAAAATTCAATTAAATCGTTGCAGCAGGTCTAGTATGTAACAGCAGGCTTGGTTCTAATTGGCTGTTAAGGGTGTTTGAAATTCAGCTGGCGACTGCCACACTACAGGGCACATGGCAATGTATCAAACATGTTTGATCAGAATTGGTAGTCTATGAGAGACAGATCAGAGGTGTCAGGACTGAATCTTTGAAAACCTGACAGCACAAAACAACTGGGGAAGATTGTTGTTAATTAGGGATAACCCCTCCAAAATAAAGTGCTAGGATAAAAAATTAACCTGACTGGAATGCTTTGTTGATTTTCGTCAATTATTCAACATTTTGTTGCAGTTTTTAGCTTTTTCTTTTTTTTTTCCCTCCTCAAAACATTGACCTTGACTTGTCAGTATGCTATGATTCTTTTATACTGTGGCCAGCTATTGTGTTTGGGTGCTGAGCGTAGAGTATTAGTTTCTCAGTGGAAAGCTGAAATGTCCTTTGTTCAGTTTTATTTTCACCCCATGACCATGAAACTTGACAGCAGTTATCGAGTTGGCGCGGTGTGGAGGTCTTTATTTGCATGATAAGAAATTTCCTTTTCTTTTTTCTTTTCCGGGGCACTGAATGGATGTGGATTATAACACTATAGGTTTTCAAGTAAAAATGACCTTATTGTAATTGGATAGTGGACACTGAGTTGAAGACTGATTAAAACAGCAGTCAACATATAGAAAATGAGCAACATGCATTCAGAAACATTTGTTCTTATGCAAACGAAATGGTTTCAAATGATACCTGCTGTTTCATGTCTCCATGGTAGTCTTGCTAATGATAGGACATAGAGTGTGGGTGTTTGTTTCATTATTCAAGGAGGCAACAGATGAGAGGAATGTTAGGCTGCTTATGATAGAATATCCAGATGGAGTATCCCTGCACAGTGAGCAAAGAAAGGACAGAGACAGGGTATTTTAGTAGTGTGTTTCATGGAAAAGGAATCCAAGTAGAGTGTGATATCAAATGCAGAATTGTTTAAATGATGTATAACATATAATAATAAAATTAAAAATTATATCACAGGATCCAGGAATAAGGACATTGACACTCAGAGATACAGACAGGACTACACAGGAGTTAGTAGGCAGTCAGTGAAATCTTAAAGTCATATATTCTGTAAAAGCAGTGGTGGGAGAAGCACTCTGATTCTTTACTTAAGTAAAAGTATCCATACCACAGTGTAAAAATACTTTTCCTGCATTCAAATTACTACTTCAGTAAAAGTACAGAAGTATTCACATCAAAATATACCTGAAGTACCAAAAATAAAAATACATATGCATCATTATATATGTGTCACTTTATTTTTGTACATTGTGTAAATGGAGCTAATGCTGTTTTGATAATCTGCTGTTTTCAAACGGATAATTATTATTTAAAGTATTTACTGCTGGCAGTCTTGAGCATTTTCTATATTTTTCAACAAAGTCTTATGATTATTCTATATTTATGTTTGTTAATTTGATTGTAACTACATTTACAGCCTGATTCACACAGGGTCAAATTGTGCAGTTGCTGAACACATGGGGCACCTAAATTGGATCCTTGAGAGACTCAACATATGATGTCTCTTGAAAGGAAGTGGAAAGTGACATTCATTATTCTGCACTACTTTAGCATAACTTCTTGCCAAACCAGTATAGTGTGGATACCCGAATCAAGCCTGAGGGGCTGAGTTCGGACAAAAATTTAGAAATTATGTTCGGGTCTAGCTCGTATCTAGACACTTAGGTCAAACTTTAAGCTAGACCGCTAGAGGACTCAAATGTCTGCTTTGTTTACCAATAAGGGGAAAACATTGTACAACTTCAACTGCATCAGGCTCGGTTCACACTAGGACATTAAATACTGTAAGCTTGTCAGGTCCGTGTCCAGGTTGGGTTCAGATGCCCCACACTCTGACACGGGTCGGATTTGGACAGAAATATGCAGCTCAATCACACAATCATGGCAGGTGGGGTATTGTGACAATACTTTGGACAGTCACTAAATAAAAACCTATTTAACACGCATACAATAAAATCACAATGCACAATCAAATGCAGTCCGTATGCTCAATTGTACTATAAAGTAAAAGCACAGATCATGCACAGTGCTGTATCCTCCCATTCTAACCTAACATGACAGAATGGATCTTCACGCAGCACATCACCAGACCAATGACATGCGGTGCTGCACTGAGGGACTTTACATTTTTCTCTAGCACACCCTAAAATTGTTTGCTGCTCCTATTTGTTGGTATAGTATTCTGTTCACACTTGGCTGATCAGCCCTATACCCTCCTTTCCCCCCTGTAGCAACAGGATGCTTGCTGATGTGTCTCTTTTGCTCCCTCTTGTTTCTTCCATTTTTCCTTCCCATTCTTTCCTCCAGCACTCCAGGATGTCATTACCGCCACAGATATTTTGCTCCAGTCCTACCTAAGACAAAGCGTGCATGTAATTTCCACCTCAAGACCTAGTCAGACAAACAGTGGCCCCAGTTTTTTCCTCTACCTCTCTCTGCTGTTCCCTGATTGGTATGGCATTCATGGCTGAGTGCAGCAGTGATTTTCGTCCCCTTGTTTTTCTTCCAGCACGTCGCCTTTGCTGGCACTGGTTCCCAGAAAATAGAGCCCATGCTGAGGATCGAATCTAGCTTTATTGCACACAGAGGCCCGGAGGAAACAATAGACGCTAATTTGTTAATGACATTACTGTGGAGGTTATTAAAGCATCAGAAGAGAGGCAGGAGCCATCTTCTTCAGGGGGTGCTGCTTGATTGCTACCAACCTGGACTCAACAGCAGTGTAATATTGCTGGGAAAAGATGTTGATGCTACTGTGCTGACCTGAGGGAAGTTCCTCTTTTGAGGAGCAATCACCATAATGATATCTCACTGGGTGCCCATGGGCTAGTCTTGTGGCTCTTATTAACAACAGCACACAAACATACACACTCTAACACCAAACGGAACAAAGGTTGCTGTGACAACTGAGACAGTCACCATGGCACTGCTATGGCTGCGTTCTGTAGTACTGCACTGCAGCCACCTTTCTTTCCTCACTTCTAGGTGCAGTGCCAAAAATGGTTCTAGTGCTTCTTGCTTTCAGCTGACTCACAGGTGCAGTTTGAAATTTTCAACCATAGACTGTATATAACGGTGTACATGTCACCACTTCCTGCCGCTATGCAAAAGTGAAGCCAAAAGATCACAAATACGGAGGCTGCCACCTTTCTTTTGTGATGCATTTTTATTCTGACTGAGCTGTTATTCTGGTTATTAGTGGAATATTAGGGCTCACGTAAAAGCAGCTATTATAAAATACCATGAAGGTTTAACTGTATTTGACAGTGACTTTCTTTGATATTGTTCAGGTCTCTTGGTACCCTAGTAGAGAATGTTAGGCTTACATGCTCATACAGGTGACAAATCCCTACATATGAAGGCCACTTCAATGGTTGCAGCAGCAGTAGGCCCTGCTTCTCTTAGGTGGATTGAAATTTCCACATTGATTCATTTGGGGTGTTTTATGAGAATATACACAAGTCTTTCTGACAATGAGTATTTTTTCCTCCTGCTTTTTTTTACCCCCGTCCCCCCATCTCTGTTGTTAGGTATTTTTAGTCAGATAGATATTGGTTAGATACTTTATGTATTAGAAATGTTTAGTGGAGATAGGATGTCTAGTTAGACTGTTAAATGCTTAGTCATGCTTATGAGTTTCTACAGGGTACATCTGGTCAAGGATAACTAGAGAGAAGAGTTGATGACTGTCAGCAGACAGGGTGTTTAATATTATTATTATGACGTGTATAACTGTAGCCTTAGCCATACTATTTTCTTATGTTTAATGTCACGACATGTTTCATCTTACATCTGCCTGCGTGCAGGTTGGAGGTGCAAGATACCTGAGCATGTAATGTTAATTTTACCTGTGATCCTTTGAATAAATCAGCACTGTTTTGAAGTTACTTGGACTGCCTCGTCTCTCAGAGTTAGCAACAGTAACAAGAACTGGAGCACAACACTGTTAACACTTGTGGAATTTGCTTGCTTTGTCCTGTGACAACTGCAGCTAATATTTTCCATTTTTGATTGAAAGTGCATATGCCTTCTCTGCTGTGCCCTTGGTGTGGTAGTAGCTTGGAGAATAAATATGTGTGCACATCCACAGTCCAGTTTCCATTCACACTTTTCTGCCCATACTTTAAGGAACTGAAGAGGTGTTGTCCTCACCTCAACCATAAGACCAGTTTGTTTAGGAGTGTTGGACTTAGTAATCACAGATGGCCAACAATTCTAGGGCTGTGTTGGGGTAGAAAGAATATGTGTGTATACTGTGTGTGTGGGCAGAGGGTAATGTGTTGTTGCCTCTTCACAGTTGGCTTATGTGCCCCCAAGTATGCGCACAATTTAGTCTGCATCTTGATTCCCCTCTGGGCTAGAGCAGCGGTGATTGAAGCCCACCATAAAATGGAGATCATAGGCGGTTTCACCAAGTTTCCTTTCATTTTGCTTGTAATTTCAACTCTGATTATGGGTAGGCCGTTGACATTCAAATAAACATGTTTACATATGTTTTTTCCCTTCTTTCTGTTGTTGCACAAGAATGGCTGTGCTTAAGCTGCTGCACATGACAATTTGTACATCCAGTAATTATACCTTCTTGGTGCTGAGAGAGAGGGAGAGGGGGAAGAGAAAAGTAGTTATTCTTATTCCATGCTTGCTTAATCATTGTCTGCCTTGTCTTTGGAATGAATGTAATTGAAACATTAGCCGTTCAGGTCTATATGCAGCATGTGGGCGAACTGCATGCACCCTGCGGACAGATTTGAATCATAATCCTTGATCAAGTAGAATCAACTTTTATGTACTTTATTTCCTCTCTCTGTTTTTTTCTGTCTGGTGTGCTTTGTCCTTCCTCATTTTCTGCATGCTTTATGCAAGTGTCCTACATTTTCTATTGAGCTTTTGCTCCAATACTTGGATATAATATCAAGTGGAAATTGTAGTCCTCTTCCTTTGACTTCTCATCTTTTTTACCCTGCTTTTGTCTTCACAGGACCTACGAGAAGTTTGGCTGAACTACCCACCACACCCCCTGCAGGTAGGGGGAGAGATTTTTATTTTTTTAATTACCTCCCAGTGTTTCCAGTGGTAACATTTCTCAGTGGTTCCACGCCAAAATCTTTGCCACCACAACAAACCATCAATCCAACCAATCAGCCATCTAATCAAGCGCCTCAGTGACTCACCCAGGAAGCCTATAAAGAACACGGTGTGTCACATTTACAGCAATAGCCGTGGCTGGAGGCGTTATGTTTTGGGGTTGTACTGCTGTATAGCCCATTCTCAATATCTCAGGAACACCTTGAGGGAATTTCTTCAAATTTGGCACAAGTGGCCACTTGGATTCAGTGATGAACTGATTAGATTTTGGTGGTCAAAGGTCACTGACCTCACTTCTGTCACATTCCTATGAATTTGACTGGCTAGCAAAAGCACACAACTGCGAAGCTGTGATTCTATTTTTTTTTATGATGGTATCGATGTGATGAGATTTTGGTGTTGTGAGGGGATTTTATCCTGTTCTCATAACGTGAAAGGGCCATTGAGGACTGTTAGGGCTCAGGTTAAAATTAGGGGTTAGGGTAAGGGTTGGGATTTGGATTTTGGGTTAGGGAATGCATTGTTCCAGTGAGTTGAAAGACATGACTGTGTGTGTGTTGCCGACAGGTGGGCAAGCTGTTAAGTTATTTTGCCTGAGGCTGACTAAGTTCTTTATAGCTGTCACAAAGTCCACTCTAGCCTTCCACTCATCTTCATTGTTCTGCTCCAGTGTTTCGCGGATCTCTGTTTTGGTTGAGGCTCTAATCTGCTTTATTTTATTCAGTCTCTTTTTGTCCTCCGCCATCGGTGTGTGAGTGTGTGCATGAATAGGTGAGAAGATGAATCTGTAAAGCACGTTGTCCAGGTACGGTAGGAAAGCACTATATAAGTGCAGTCCATTTACCATTTGCCATTGCTCATTTCTCTCCTCTGTCTCCATGATGCTGTTCTCTCCTTCTCCAGCATCATGTGTTTGCACTCATACACTCACTGTTTCTGTTCTGGTGTTCTTTACTTTGCATGATCTGCCCAGAAACATTGAACATGTCAACAGTGTTTGTTTGAAATTAGGATTTGGAAGAAGAGATCAAAGATGCCATAACAGGATTACAGTCCCAGATCACATGGGGCCTCCAGGGACAGTCAGGCATCTTTCTCTGATGTGTTTGGGAGGAGAAAATGTTTCTTTGTGTCAGTGCTGAGACTCGTCTCTAAGCAGTTTATCCTCTTCATCTCCCTGCATACATTGCTGCATTTTCATATGAACATTTCGCACATTCATGTATAAATAATGTTATATTTCATACATAAATTTTATTCTTCATATACATCTGTGTGTATTTGTTTGTTGTTTCCACATCTTTGCCGCCTCAATCCTCTGTTTTCACTCCCATATACTGAAAATTCACAGAGCGTCTGGATGTTTTTGCTGAGCTTGTCAGTTCTCAGAATAAACCCATTGTATCCTGCAGTCTATTTACCCGGTGAGTTGCACAGTGGAGGCCACAGCGGCGGGCACCGTGGTCAGGGTGGAGCCCTGGGGTCAGCCTTACAACTGCTCTGTGGTACAAGGGGAACCTCCACAGTGTGCTGCTTGAATAGTCATTGGCCGCTTCAGAGTCATAGCCTCATTACCACACGTTGTGTGTGGCTGAGGTTCCTCTGGGTCCCCTGCCAATGGAGTAACGTCTGTTAAATTGTGCCAGCCTTTTTACAGCTTGATAGCATTCTGACCTTTTGGCTTGAGATGATGTAACCTGAGTAGTTTTGCAATAAGAAAAAAACCTCCCTTAAATTTTTTCTGTAATTGATGAAGGCCTCCAGTGCTTGAGGTAAGAACATTATGCCCAAAGTTGTAGCTGCAATGTAACAAGGTTTCACCCTCCTCCCTTGCCCAACAACATGATGACAAACCAGAGGTGAAAGAGGAACTGCCTTAATGAGGTTTGAGTGGATGGCAATGGCAGCTCGCCATAGCATGGGTAATTGTGCGTACACCTGTCTTTGGCATACATTGGCCTATTAGTCTTGCCAATATAACAGCTCAGTGTGCTATGCTTTGTGGCTGACAGACACATTTTATGTCTTTTGTGTTTACTTGATTTCCACCAGCACATAATCATTTCCACCTCTCCAGAATAATTTACTGGAACATCATTTACAGTGAGTCTAGATTTCAGAGTTTCCCCGTTGGTTTATCAGAGATACAATCGAGCTTGTTAGGCCTCAAAAGATCTCGGCTCTGATTCTGCTTCCTGTCTGGATTCAGTTGAAGACTGATACTTTGAACCCTGAAGTCTCTTTAACTAGTTTGGATTTTTCCCTTTCTCTACTTTGTTTTGAGGCCCTGCTGCTGGCCATCTCCTCTGAAGGATAGCTTGTGCCCGTGAGTGCTGAACTTGTCAGATGTTGTTAGGTTGTGATGCGTGACATTTAAACATCTTTTCTTAATTAACAGAGGGGAAAAATGCAGAAATGAAATGTTTCTTAGGACATATTGGAAGATGGAACCATGACATTACCTGCAGCACTCCAATTAAAATACTGAGTTTAAAAATACATCTCTGTTTTGCACAGTGGCTTGATTTGGGAGACTCTGAGAACACTGTTTACTTGTCATTTCTTTATGAAAACAGACAACGAATGTGCTGGAAAATGAAGAAAGTGGCCATGTATCCATGGAGAGCCTTGAATGAAGTGCACATTTTTCTTATTTTTGATGTAATTTATACATCTACAGTAAATGGAGCAGGCTAACAAGGTCAATTGAATGTGCCTTAGCTTCTTGTAAATGTCCACTTTGAATTGTGTGGCTCAGTATTTCACTTTTCTTTGGAAAAGATGTCAAGCTTTCACTTTTACCATGCAGAGACCAATTAGATGTTTCCATAAGCCTCATTGATGCACCCATAAGGATGTATCTTGATTCAGCAAACATGCATGCACATATTTTCTCAGCATATAATTTCTTTTTCTAATGAGCATAGGCATGAGCCAGTACTGTATTTAGAGAGCAGAATGTTTTTGCTGAACTCACCAAGCCATAAAGCTAATGTAAAAAAAAAAAAAAATCTACAAAACTTTTCACAACCCAAAAACATTCTTCCACTAACTCACAAGGTCAGGAGTCTCTGATATCTCCTGCTTTAGAGCATTCAGAGAAATGTAGCGTACTTTTAACTCACCATGGATTTTAATTGACCATTTGAATCACCATATTTAGAGAGAAAGAAAAGCAAACTGTTTGACTTAAATTTAATGACTTAAATTCTGTCTCATGCATATCATCTGAGTTTATTTTGAGACAGAGTAAGATGCTCTGAACAGACCCTCGAGCAGCACGCACCGGAGAGGTTCATTTCATTTAAGAATTCATCTGATGCTCTTGTGGAGAATGAGTTTGAGTGTGAGTTTAAATGTAATAAAGTTGGAATAAACAGCACTGAAGAATGTCAAGATTATTTAGATTTACACTAGTTGTTTTCCTCCCTGTAATCACTAAGAGATTTTCACCCACTTTTATAAACTCTAAGCAGTTTTGTGTATCCTTATCTGGTGAGCTCTTTCACATCTTGACCAATAAATCACATCACGTGGCCAAAAGTATGTGGACAGTTGGTGGCGAAACTAATAGTAACAGCAGTTACTTTTACTGAAATTACACAGATAAGAGAGAAGACACTGGGGGGGGGGGGGGGGGGATTCGACTGAGGCAGAACTAGGGGGGATTTTTTGTGCTTGTAAGCCAATGAGAGACATGAGTGAGGAAATCGCTGTCTGCATTAACACAATCTGTAGTTACATTTCTGGAGAGGTGCACGTCAAGCTTACGGCATAGGATACGAGGCTACCTGCATTGTACATACGTCATAGATTCAATGCAGAACCGAAAATCAAGCTTAGCACCGTGTGATATTTGAACACTTCATCCCATGGGCCTTAATGGAACCTGGTTGCACAGATGTTCTTCCATTCAGCCACAACACCGTAAGTGGGATCTAGCACTGACGTTGGATGATGAGGTCTGGCTTGCAGTCGACGTTCCAGTTTGTCAGAAAGGTGTTGGATGGAGCTGAGGTTATTGCTCTGTGCAGATCAGTCAAACTCTACTTCTCCAAAGTGGGAAACCCATTTTTAAATTGATCTGAATTCATACATGGGGCCACTGTCATGTTGGAACAAGAACAAGTCTTTCCCAAACTGCCACTAAGCTGATAGCAAACTATTGTCAAAATACACTGTAACTTTGTGCTTTGGCATTGAGATTTACCTTCACTGGACCATAGTTCAAACCTTGAAAAACAAGCATAGACCAAAGTAGACAAAATATGGTGACACCGGTGTCAAAAATGTATAGATGCTTTGACCATACCAAGTATAAATGTGCTTTGTGATGAATACATCCATTTGCAAGCCCACATTGTTGTCACCAAACTACCTTTGTGCCAGGTCCAGGAGCCGCAGACAGACAGGCAGCTGATTGAGACGTCTCCAGTCCTCCAGAAACTGACCAACTTTGAGGGGTCTATCGGAGTTTTGTTCACACATGTGCGCCTGCTGGCCAGAGCGTTCACCTTGAGGACCGTGGGCTTCAACCACCTCACCCTGTAAGTACAGTTGCTGTTTGTTTGTTGATACAGCCAATTAAAATGCTAAGTGAGGAACTAGTTGGCCAAATGCAATTTGCAAGAATGCTGCCAGACTTTGTCTGGTGTTCCCTTTAGAGGTGATGAGGCATGATGCCTTATAATATGATATATAATGCGATCTGAGATGCTGGGAGTTTTATCATTCGTTGTACATTTTAAATTACCCTATCTGTTGTGAATGCCGCAGCCTCCTACTACCACACCATCATTATGTTTGGCTCCTGCAGCTTATACATTTTCTTGCAGTCACTAAGACTGCCTGTGTAACAAGTGATGTTTTGAATGTCATGTCCAAAATATCTAATGACTGTTCTAAGGGTTTCACAGTCCATTTGAGAGAGAGGCCATAGGGACTCTGCGCTCTCCATATCTGTAATCTGCCTGTACCTACAAGGCCATAACCCTGCTACCCCGTGGGAAATAGGTTTTTGATTCACTGGGTTGTCCAGGCCAGAGAAATGTCTCTTTTTTATTAATTCTAATAAGACATTTTTTTTCTTTTCTCAGTATCAGTCCTCTTTGTGAATTCATGGTTTTTCATTTATTTTATCCACTTGTAACTGTACACACTATTCCTACAATACACAGTGCATTCTGTTCTGCATTCTGTTTGCAGTGATATGAATTAAGTTTTTGCTCTGTGTCTGTTAATTGCAATACTTCATGGTGATGCTGTGGTAATTCAGTACCGACACTGGACATGGGGTATCCTCTCAGGCTCTACTGTGACATTTGTTCAGTAGTCAGCAAAGTTACAAACGTCTATAGAGATGACCCATGTACACTGTTGTGTACAGAATGGAAATTGGAGAAGTGTGTTCTTTTCATAAGAAAAAATTTTCACTAATTGGACTGTTAAGTCCAATTTGAGGTGTTTGATTCTGGGTATGAGAGGGTTATTTACAGTGGAAGCTTAACTCACTTCTGAGCTTTACAGCACAGTAGTTAATGTGACGGCTAAATCAAATTAGCTTTGACAGCACACCTCTGATATCTTTTTGGCAGGCTGCGCTCTGTAATTGCTTGCTTAGATTTGCCACAAGGACATTGTTCAGTGTGTCTATGGTCGTGTGTGTCATATAAACACATTCTCATTTTACAGTACATTGCTGTGTATGTTCTAAGCCATCACTAAAGTCAGCCTTCTCCTCACTCACTGGTTAGTGAGGTTGATCAGAGTTTCAGCAGTTTGTCTCCCACTGAGCTTTACTTTAGCCCTTTTTCCATCTCCTGGTACTGACTCAACTCGAGTCGACTGTATTTGCTTTTGGTACCAGGGCTTAGTTTTCCACTACAGATGGTCCCCGCTCAGTGCAGCTGGTTGTCGTAGCGACACCGCATCACACTGCCGTGACGTCATCGACAACTGGCACAGTAACAGTGGAGAACATTGAAGGCTGTTCTTGAGTCTTGGTGTTAAATAACATGGCTTTTAAAAACGGTACATTTTTTGTTTCAGGACGTCTTGCTCATTGATGACTAGATCTTTTCTGACCAGTTGTTAGTCTGCCGTTTTTACATGTCACTGTTTGGTATCGCCTCTGCTCGCTTGGAACCTCAATGAAGATGATACCAAAAGTTATATCAGGTACTATCCCCAACATTTGACTGATGGATAAACAAATAAGGCGAGTCAAATTGAGGATGCGATGGAAAAGGGGCTTTTGAGGACATTTGGCCCCAGCTTGTGCCTCTCATGTGTAACATAGACTCGGATAACAGAGATAATCTTCCATAAACCTGCAAAATTGAGACTTGCCAAACATTTTAACCCTCTACTGTCGTTTCATAAAACTCACCAAAATTCTCAAGGTATTTCCCGAATCGTCACAGACTCTTCTAACAATGTGGAATCGAAAGTAATCTGTTGCAGTTCAGGAAAAATATAATTTTTGTAAGGTTTTCAGATAAAACAATTTCTTTTCAGTTGGGTTTAGGACTTTCCAACTCAAGGTTGACACCAAGGATATTTTCTGACTTAATGGCTTTCCATTCAATAACCTAACTTGTTATATAGGTGTAAATTTAAGTTTGTATTTTTATTTGACAGAATTTTATTATTACTTTTCTTGGAGTAAAAAAGGACAAAATCAATAGACATTCGGGTTAGTTTATATTTGTTAGCTCATTAGTGGCAAAAGGCAGGTTGACCTAAATAAAGCTGATGGGCTTGAAAGCTGGAAGTGCGCAGCATTTGCCCATGAGAACCAAAGGTTATACCAAAGTAGGTCACACTGTCGTGATGGAGAGAAGAACGAGGTCAGATAATGTAGAGGAGGGTCAGAGAATAAGGTAAGCAGCAGATGAGGAGACGGGGCTCAGGCTGTCCTTCGGCCTATCACTTAAAGCAGAAGTAGAGTATAAACTGACCTAGAAGAAGATGAGACAAGAAGCGAGGATGAGAGATGCCTCTGTCGAGAAGCAGTGAAGACTTGAGGCAACCATCAGACAGCAGAAATGAAGCTGTGGCCCCGAGGCGTTTGGCTTCCCAACTCCTCCCATAGATGAAGAGCAGGGTGTTGCAAGAATTTCACTGTCAGTGAAAAAGAATCAATCTGTTTTCTTGTTCAGTATATATGTGTAAATAAAAGCCATGGTGGAAGAAATACTCAGATCCTTTACTTAAGTAAAACAATAAACTGTGTAAAAACACTGTTAGAAGTCCTGCATTCAAAATGTTTCCTAAGTAAAAGTATTAGCATCAAAACATACTTAAAGTACTAAAAGTACTCATTATGCAGAACGGCACATTTCACATTCCTGTGCATCAGATTATTGTGCCATAATTAGATGCATTATTATGTTCATTACATTTAATGTTGCAGCTGGTACAGGGGGAGCCAGTTTTAACTGACTTGTATGCTTTTAATTTGAAGTACTGCTTGTGAATTTTCCCCCGGGGATCAATCAAGTCTTATAATTATACTGTGTTTTTTGTGTTGATCTGTTTTGGAAAAGTAACTAAAGTTATAAACATAGTGAAGTAAAAAGTACAATATTTGTAGTGAAGTCAAAGTATGAAGTAACAGAAAATACTCCAGTACAGATACCTCAAAATTATAGTCGAGTATAGACAAACTTTATTGCAGACTCAAGGTCCAAACCCCAACAACAACAAACAATAAAAAAAAACAACAACAATAAAAACAATAAAAAACCACCACAAAACAACCAGTCCACTACTATCCCTTTAAGAGGCAAGTATACCAGTGTCTCCAGAGTACTGATGTATATCGCATGTCACTATATGCAGCGTTAGTCAACAATAAAACAATGTGGTTTTCAGAACTATTCAAGCGACCGATAAATTTATACATCAGGTTTCTTAAAACAGCTGATAAAGTACTAACTCGTAGTGACACAAACAATTCACTGGCACTCACCCATCTAGGCCTTTTCAGTAATAGTCTTATTATAAGCCACAGTCAGTTTCCGAAAACTGCCTTGTTTTATAATTAGACCATAGATGGGCAGTGTACAAAGAGAAACAATACGCTCTAAATAGTCAATTTTACCACATAGTACTTGAGTAAATGTACTTAGTTACTTTCCACCACTGAATAGAATTGGATTCCATGTGGGGCTTTTTTTGTAATTACTGGAAACATTTATACATGCAATTATACTGTATTTTTCTAAATAATTTAAGTCCCACAACAAAAGATAATGTGCAGTGTTTCTGGCTTATGAACTTTTAAAACATTTTTTAAAATAAATGCATGATGAGTAAAGAAATGGTCATAACAGGCACAGTTACTACTCCATTCTCAAACACCATCACAGATTATCTTTGTCACATTGAGTTAGCAATATGAATACAATAATAAATAATATACATTTTGACTTGTTTAAGGAATTTCTTGCAAATATGTTTCATTAAACAGGACACAATAAGACCCACTGCTCCAATGCAGTGTAGGAGTTGTGGTTTACAGTATTTTCCCTAGTTTGCTCTTTGAACAGCTCATAAGATTAGGTTCTGTAGTTCATTAAATATCATGCATATATGATTTGTAGTCAAACTGTAAAACCAAGGCAGTATTTTTTTCTCTTCAGTGAAAATAAACTCATTTACCTTTCTGTATAGTGCAGTTTATGTAGAAAAGACCCTTAGTTTTTATTATATTGAAGTACCACTTGTCATTTAGTCATCTTTTTCATGTCGTGTTTTTTTTTCCTGTTTTCTCTTGATCCAAAATTAAATAGTCTGAGTCTAAAGTCACTGCTGTACCTACCCAGTAACATTTTGTCAAAAAGGTCATCACAAACATGCACATATGAACATTGATTCCCTGAAAATTGAGAGAAAAAATGGCCTCTTCCTTTTGGAAGGGACAGCCTGTCGCCTCCTGTTCAGAGGGCCTGTTAAAGGTATTTTAGATCAAAGTCGAAGGCGAATAAAGACCTCAACCCCGCACTTAACTTCAGTCTCCCCCCACCTTACTGGAGCATTGTGCTTCTGCTGTTGTAGTCAATAAGAGACAACCACAACACATTGCTCTTTGACCCTATCTACCTCTCTTCGCCCATTTTGTCTTTTCTCACTGCACTGTTGCCTTTCTTGCTCTGCCTCCTGTTGGATGTAAAATTAGCTCTACATCTTCTCAGTCTGTTTCTACCTAGCACATCCTCCATCACATGCATTTGCTCTGTCATTTTCTCAAATATAAGGATCTGCTGAGATTTTGTTTTATATTCTTGTAATTTTTTTTAATTAGAAAACAGATATTGTGTTTGGTCAGTAATCAGCCTTACTAAGATGCTAAATGCCGGATACCTGCCTGTTTAACTCGGCTCTTTCTCATTGCTCAGATATGCTGCGGCTCAGAAAACGCTGAGGTGCCGGGAATCTGACAATAAACTCTGACCTTTTTCTCTCTTTGATGTCAGCCTCCTCCTCGCCTTCTTCCTCTTCATCTTTCCCTCTTGTTGTCAGACTTTCCCCCCCACTAGGAGCTCGTATCTATAGATGGATATGTGCTCTGCTGCTGTATACATACCCTCCCCCCCCAAATGCTTCCTGCCTCCCTGGCACAGCACCAGCCCACATCTGCAATGCTGATGTATAATTCTGTTTAATTAATGACATTACAGCAGTAGCGTGCACCCCCTCCTGCTGCCCTGTCTAACAGCGTGGAGAGTTACTGTGTGCTCCCTGCCTTTCACTCATGTGGAGAAAGGCAGGAATCTGATGTACAGTATCACAGTGCTGCCCTTGGCTTTTTCTAGGAATTGTTTGAATGTTGAAAGTTGCTTTTTGAACTCATGTGCATGCTTCCTGCTTTTATGGCTTTAGGAGTCTGACAAGCACTTCTGCAGGTGCACCAGAGGTTTTTAAGCATAGATTTTTTTTTCTCCTCCCATTTATATTTGAATTGCAATCATTTTCTTAAGAAGGGCTGCTTCTTCATGCAGCCTCTGAGTTGTCACACAGCCTGTCAGTGCACCTGTTCCCAGAGCCGCCCATGAAATGTACATCAGCCGACTTCACCGGTTCTGTTAAAAGACTAAAAGCCTGGTAGAATTGTGGAGAGAGCTTGATGCCTTTCATGCGTCACTGATGTGTTGCTGAATAGCCCCATATGAAACCCTGCCTGTCCTCACTTTTTTACCCCATTTCTCCCTGCCCTCCCACTTCACCCCTGCTATTTCATGCCCCCTTTATCCTTCTGTAACCTTTTCATTTTTCTTCTCATCTATTCTTTCCCTTGTTTACCTCTAACCATTGATCCTTCCTTCATCTTGTCAAGGGGCCACAACCAGAGGATGGAGTTTCTGGGAGATTCTATCATGCAGCTGGTGGCCACAGAGTACCTCTTCATCCACTTCCCTGACCACCATGAAGGACATTTGACAGTAAGATTAAATCACTCACTCACATGCTCTACATTGCACCTGTGTTTTCTCTTTGTGTGTCTGTTGTCTGAAGCTGCCTGAAGCTGCTCCTCCCTGCTTTTTACAGTATACAGGTTTACATGAACTGCAGCTACAGCTGTGCTTTTGTGCCTGTGTGTGGGTGATTTTTTTTTTGTTTTCTTGCTTCCTTCCCATCAATATCCAAGTCTCCACAGTGCCAGTCAGGTATTCACCTCTTCCTCTTTTGCTTGTTTCCACAAAATAACTCTTCCTCTCTTCACCCCACACTGTGCCTGTGTTTACTGTACTTCGTGTGATGGGTATTGCCATGAGACAATCAGTTCAGTGGTTTTCAGTAACACATCTTTGTTGGCACATTTTTGCAGAAGCTTTCAAGTGTCTAAGAAATAAAGTTGAGTGTGAAAACTTGCACCGCTTGTAACACAGGTACAAAGTAAACGATCACACTTTGAACGTGAAGTCGACTTTTTGATAGCATCAAACGGCATTACAACTCCCTCTTTTCATTTGCACATCAGCACTTCGCTTCATAAGATTGACTACTTGAGGCTGGAGGGATTGAACTGGTTGGAAACTGTATAAGAACTTCTGCAGTTAGATATTTATAGGTGAATGTTCCGTATAGATGGATGCATGATGTCAGTTGTATAAAAGCTTGCAGTGATCTCTTCTTGAGAGACTGAAAGCTTCAGCGGTGCCTAGGCCCAAGAGTCAAGATGAGGAACATATGAAATGGATTTCAAATGTGTTTGTGTGGCTCTGATTGTGACTGCTGGGTACTGTTAAGGAGGACACATCACAGCAAGACAGATGCAGTCATATTGCATTCCATTTGCTCTTTTCCGCATCTCGAGGCTATATTTAACATGTTTGTGTTTTTCCTTTTAAAGACGTAAATGTACCAGTCGAACATGTTGTCATCCTCTCATCTCCGAGTCACAATGTAATATTTAACAGAGCGATGTGCAATCTCCCTGAAACATTTACTCTCTTTGATGAATTATTCCATGTGGAGTTTATTTTGATATTTTTGTGTACTTTTATTTCCACGTAACTGTGCATCTGGGTCTAATGTTTGTGTGGTTGAATGTTTACACCTTGAAACATTTTTGAACACTGGACACGCAAAAGTGATGCTCTGTGTGTTTGTCCACAGCTACTGCGCAGTTCGCTGGTAAACAACCGCACACAGGCCAAGGTGGCAGAGGAGCTGGGCATGCAGGAGTTCGCCATCACCAATGACAAGACAAAACGACCCGTTGCGCTACGGACAAAGACTCTGGCTGATTTATTGGAGTGTATGTTCACAGTTCTTTGAATCATTCTCAGAAGTAAAAAAAGAAAAGAAAGTAGAAAAGAAATGCTTAGTAAAATACGTGGATGGTAGAAGAGTCACATTTGGCATCTAATGAGAAAATCATCTGCTTTGTCTTGCACTTGTTTTCCCCATCTCAGAGAAGATGGACCTAAAGACTTCACCGCATCCTCAGTCTCATAACTAAAACATCAGAAATTTCAAACTGAAAACACTGTATGTTCATCAGGCTCTACACCGGCCTGACCCCTGTTCACACACTGAGTCAGTGTGTATATACTATAACTGTTAACTAGGCGGATAAAAGAAAATTAATAAAGAATGAAGAAATAATGGATATGTGACCCAGGAGTAGCAGCAATTAGTAGGCAGTTCTTACCCCTTTCTTATTTGCTTTAGTGTGCTATACATCATAATGAGATCAAATGTTAGACCACCTATATCTCATAAATGGTCATTTTTGACTTCCTTTGTTACATACATTTCAAAATGTGAGCTGCATTTGGTCTTAGTAATATTGAAGCAATTTCCCATTTGGTAGGATGAAAGATAGAAAGGCTGTTCATTTGAATCACTTGTTACAGTAACATATTGTAATGTGTGATGATGAAAAAAAACTTTTAGAAAGTGCTGCAGCCTCAAGAAATATTGGTTGTGCTGTAATAAGAGCTGATAGGTGTCTTACTTGTCCAGAACATATTAGGTAGCCCACTGTACCAGTATAAATGGAAGATGTCCCCAAATCAATAGGTGGCAAATGCTTCTTTCATTACTGCCTGCATGTGTGTGTAAGACACATCAGACATGTTTAGCTAGAGACAAAATGATGGATCCTGTTATGTAAACTTAAAGACACATTTCCTTGAGTTCAGACCCACAGTGAAAAGTCTAGCAAAGGCAGTGCTTCCACATGAACAGAAGGATACACAGCACAAAGCAAACAGGGAGTAGACCATTATAGCCTGGCATAAAAACAAAAAGAATAAAAGCACTAATACATTCCAGGTCGACATCCAATAGTGCATGAATCACACATGCATCCAAACGAGGATAAATGACGGCACAGAGCTTCATATCGTTTGCTTTTCAAAAGATCCTTGGACGTTCAGGCCAGAGCAGGGCTAGTGACACAGGAGGGAGACAAGGGTCGGTTCTGTAAATGAGTGCAGCTCTATGGCTTGTGAACAGTTGTTCTCTGCAGCTACAGTAGGCCCTCAGCAGCCTCCTGAAATATTATTTCCTCCTTTCTTGGAGAGATGAGTGAATGCAGTGGCAGCTAATGGAAGAGGAAAACAAAGGGAAAGTCGCAAGCTGAAGATGACACTCGGCTCTGACTGCTTTCAATAAAAACTTTTCAGTTAAGTTAAATCGCCAGTTATTCTCAGTTCAGCTTGACATAGTTTTTTTTCTTTGAACTTTGTGTGGCCCTCGCTATTTAAATTTCCTGTGCGAATTTGTAAAGGGAACAACAGAGCCGTTCTCTCCATATCTTATCACTGTGGCGGGCCGGAGCTGAGGTTTGTCCTCTGCTTTTTGATGTTTTATTTACTTAAGCAGGAAGAAACCCAGCTGTTAAGCAGAGCAGAAAAATAAGGCACACATCAACTACCACTTTATTTCTTTGTTTCTTATAAGTGCTTTCCTTCTTTGTCTTTCTGCAGCTTTCATCGCAGCGCTCTACATTGACAAAGATCTGGAGTATGTGCACACCTTCATGAATGTCTGCTTTTTCCCTCGGCTGAAGGTGAGACCCTATTGATAACCATTCACTCCTCGCACCTGATCAATGAGACGCTGAGCTGGACACCTCAGAGAGAAAGAGAGAGCTAATGGCTGGCCCATTATGGTACTAGCATTGACACAAGGCCTGAAGTGGTGCTAGGCTCTTGAATGCCTCTCACAGTGGCGGCTCAGATCGCTATTTTAGTCATGTTTAATGGGAATCGCAACTGTGTCAGGGCGCATTTATTGAGTTGTTCACTTTAGTCCACTGTTTTTCTATTGATCTAAGAGGCGTCCATATGTGGAGTGTCCCAGGAGTTAGATAAATGAACTAAGCTTCAGTCAAGATTCCCATGGCCAGATGTGAGCTAAGGAAATGCGGGTGTTTTACTCTCAAACACCATTAGATTGGCCAGAATTAGATAGAAGAACTGTAAAGGTCTAATTTTCCTATTAATGTAGCTGATGTGGTAAATGGAAAATGGAAGCCACAAACTCTCATACGGTACATAAAGAGGCATGGGCACAAGTGTGCACACTCCCTCTTGTACGGATGCCCACACGGCGTAGACCTCTCCTTGTGAAGCTCCTGCAGCGGTCTGATATGCCATGCTAATTGCTGTCTTAGTGTGCTTCTCCAGGGAGGATCCCTAGCTCTGGAGGAGCTGAGCTTTGTGTCATGGTCGCTGCAAGAGAGCACCTCATTTCCACTTCCAAGTGAAAAGTTGTGAAACAGCCAGCACGTCTTCTTACATAGACTTCTGGAAACCACAGCATTGTACACTCTGCTGCCTCATCCAATTTGGATGGGAAAAAGGAGGGCAAAACCAGGGACATGAATGTGAACTAAATGCTGCTTTCCTTATGTTTGCTTTTTTTTTTTTGCTACACTGTGTGATTACATATACAGAGGCGTTTGCACATCTGTGCACTTGAAATGCCTTGTACTAGAGCTGGACTGTATGCTGAACTCTTTTCAAAACAGCCACATTTTTCTGCTTTAGGCAAAAGGAGTGTAGATGCCCCCCAGAGAGAGGAAAAGTGGGAAGGAGGAAAAGGGAAGTAAAGCTCAGAGGCAAGAACAGCAGAGATCGAGGGGCTGGGGTGCAGTAAAGCGAGAGAGTGGGAGAGCGGGAGCAACAGAGGCAGAGGCACTCTTTGTAGAAAATTAATAGCAGCAGACAGTTCTGGATTCAAAGTCTGCCTTTTTATGACAAGGCTGCTTCCCTGTTAATGGAAGGGCTTTTAGAAGTCCCCCTTGGATAAGAGAAATGTATCAGGACTGCACACCTGGGAGACTCCCAGATGCTCTTTATTTCTGGCCAGGGATTGGCTTTTGTCTTAAGTAGCCTGTGATTTGTACTCACTGTGAAGACGCAGATGGAGACCCAGTCAGAAAGACAGAAAGAGCAAATAAGGGAGAAGGAAAGAGGGTAGATGGGGCCAGTGCAAGAATAAAATAAAAGCACAAGGGACTGAGACTGAGAGTTTGTAATCAAAACTGATTTTTTGTTTTTGATTCTTTGTGAAAGAAGTAATTTGTTTATAAGGGTTTTGATTGGTTTGTGTGTTGCAGGAGTTCATTCTAAACCAGGACTGGAATGACCCAAAGTCTCAGCTGCAGCAGTGCTGTTTGACCCTGAGAACAGAGGGCAAGGAGCCTGATATCCCACTGTACAAGTAAGACCCCAGAAAACACTGAGAACCATGCTGACACTGGCTGTTTGGAGCTAGCACACATGGTATGTTATGTGGCAAAACAGCCATTACATCCAAGAGTAGTGTTAATTTCTGAAGCCCAGACACGATCGCCAGAAGTGAAAAGCTCTTGTTAGGCTATAAACAAACTACACCAGTCCCGTGACTTCAGCATCACAACCATGGCTTCTGAACTGTAATTTGATTTAGCACACTTACCTCTTCTACAAAATCCTTTCCTCTCAGCATGGCCTGGTTTAGCTAGTGTCAGTTCATTAGAATAGTTTGCACGTGTGTGAGTTTAAACATAACGAGGCTATAAAGGCGGGCTAGTGAGTAGATGAGTCTGTGTTCATCGTGACAGTTAATATCCCAGATGGCCTGTGTAGTCTCATTTAGCCACTTGTTAGCAACCACCTTTTTTAAAACATTAAAAATCATGGGTAGGGTATTTACTGGTGTATTTTATGTTGTAGGAAAGGTAAAAATGTATTGTCCTTGTGTTAAGCACAGACCATCTTTCAGGGCAAGGCAACTGGAAATGCAAAAATACTAGCTCAGCTCCGGGTTTTAGGACTCATTACTATGGCACTCTATATGTGGATATATTTTATAAATATTTGTCTCATGCTATACATCATCCTATCATACCTACCATTATATTATGTTATACCATCGATATGATCTGATGTTTCAGATGAATATAAATAGGCCAGTTTTAGCTTAAATCATCACATGTAGACCAGTGGCCTTATAACCTAACATGTAGAAACTCATGCATGTGCATATTGCGCATACAATAGAATGGCCCAAAGTCCTAAGCAAAGCAAAGTTTATTTATATAGCACTTTTAAAAGTGTCTGTTACAACCACAGATACACTTGACAAGAATAAATAACAATTGCCAAACAATAAAAAGCAGTATAACAATGTTAAAAGACAGTTGGACGGCTTGATTTAATACGACTGATGTTGCTTGAGAGACTGAAAAGCCTGTAGGAAAGACAGAGTGGGGCAGATCTGAACCTAACAGCAGGTTATTCCATCATTTCAGACCTGCGACAGAAAAGCACGCTCACCTTTCAGCTCAAGTCTCACCCTGGGGACCTCTAATAAAAGTCTGCTATTGAAATGGGTTCACTGAGGCATCACATTGGCGATCGTGCACATTCATACAAATGAAGTGGCACAAACATAATTTACTGAATTTTTCTCTTTGTTCTGGGTCCCTGAACATTGTGAATAGCAGTGCAAAGGTCCCTGTTGTTGTAGTGATAAATAAGCACACCCCTTATTTAACAATAGGTCAAGGAGCAAGGGTCAGTTGGCAAAATGCTCTTGAGAGCTGTGAATCTGTGTTTGTCGCCATGGAAACTGAGGTGTCTTTTTATTTTTTAGAAAACCAGGGGTCAGCTCAACATGCAGTTAGAGAAGGAGCAGTTTTGTGTACAGCGAACTGCACAGTTCGGCATTTAATCAGTCTTTTCAGCTCTCCTCTGTTTATTCTGTCTGCCCGTCCAGTGGATGGTGATTTTTGACACATCACCACTCTGACACTACAATCAACACTTCCCCCTAACTCTGATGCCCACAGGAATATAAACCAGCAACAATAGGGCTCCCGGCTGACTGGAATTTTAACATTTCACACAAATAGACAAATGCTTACATAAAGCTGGCCAACGACACATTTGAGGTGATCACTAGTTTCTTTCTTTACTCTTCGACCAATACACAGGAGCAGCTGATAATCTTGAGGACTGAGACGACCTGACCCCTGTTGACTGATGCGCCAGACTCGCCTTCTATAACATTTCATAAAGCAGTTGTTGGCGTCTTAGTCTGTCTGAATCTGAAGTGTCAAGAGTGAAGAAACCCGGGGTCAGACAAGTGTGGGAGTCAGAGAGAAAGAGACTAAATGACTGAGGGAGGGCAGGAAAGGACACAAATAGAGGAAGGAAAGGAGTTAATGTGCCCTGCTAAAGGTTCCCTGGTGAATGTGTCGGGCTAATGACAGATCTCATCTGAGCAGAACACACCAGGGAGCAGAGCCATACATGTGGCATGGTACAGAGAGCGGCCTTAGTCAGTGAGTGGCTGCTTTTAGCATCAGCTGCTATAGACCCACTACGGCGCTTGTTCTTCTCACTTCCATCTGTGCGCAGCCTTGAAGTCGACAACTTCCCAACAGCCTCGCAGATTTCCTTTTTATCCCGTCTTGTTTTATTATTTTAGCAGAGTGATAACTCCAAGTGACAGACTTCCCCTGTTGAGATTTGGCTAAAACGACGAGGCTCATTTGCTTCTCACATGTTATGTGCTTCTTCATTTGTAAGTGAGAAAGAGGCTGAATTATTGATAAAGTGTCATAAGTGACCACATTGCATTAAAAATGGATTGCTCTCCTGAAATAAGTAAATTGTCTTTGAATAATTTAGGTGACTCACAGCTTGGGTCTGAGATGTTTATGCTAATGTTAATATTTCAAACATCTCCCTTGTTCTGTCTGCTGTCTTGTACTGTAACAGAACCAGCAGCTCTTTTTTTTCCTTTTAAATCATATACATTTGTAAATTACTTAACCAATAGTCTCTTGTCATTCCTCTCTCAGATTTCTTGGTCCCCGTTTGGCCTTTTCACTGTAGCAGGGCAGGCTCATGGGTCTCTCAGAGGCTGTCATTCTTTTATTTCAGTTCCTCATGATACATGTGCCAAACACAGATCTTGGTATCTGAAGATGACTGAAGATAATTGGGGGAGCTTTTAAAGTTGTTTATATGTCCCTCAGATGTTTTCTGTCGGCTCTGAAAGCACACTAGTGAATCAGAACACTGAACTCTCTGCTGATAAGTTATATTTGTTCCAAGTAAAAACTACTTTTTACCTCCATTTTTTATCATTTCCCATTGGGACAATGACCCTGAGTGTCCTTCTGCCTTTCTGGTACATATTATGATTTCTCAACTCGTCCCTTGTCCCTCTCATCCCATATTTCGTCTGTTTGAATTTGCAGGACCCTGCAGACAGTGGGGCCCTCTCATGCCCGCACCTACACCGTCGCCGTGTATTTCAAAGGGGAGAGAATCGGCTGTGGCAAAGGCCCAAGGTGAGTAAGACAGTACAATAGAATAAGGCACTCTCCCTCTCAGTGCACTGCTAATGGGCTCCAGAATAATGGCTGCATTTTATTGATGGTGTTTATTATAGCAATTAAGCTCTTGTTGGCCTATTCTATCGGGAGAGACATTATGCTGAATGAAAATGAATCGATTCATTATTGATTTGACATAAATTGTATTATGGAAATATGGCTTTGTACAGAAGAAGAGTCTATGATGAGGCGACACTGCATCTAGAGCTGTGTTCAGGTCTCCCTGGGATGTTGTGTTCACAGCAGGACAGGGATGTGTGTGCCTGTGTTTGACTGCTTTGTGTGCGCTCATACACTCACGCTTTTGTGCAGTAAAGAAAGTGAAAATCTGCACAAAGGCATTTTCAGGATTGGAGGGACTGATAAGTGTAGAATTCCCCTCTATGGCCCCCTCTTAAATGCGCTCTGTCTTCCTCCAAGCTGTCGATAATTTTGTCTCTTCTATAGGAAATTTCACAGATTAATATTTTTGCATTTACATGATTTAAGCTCCCATCCACCTCCACTGCTGGGCTGTGATCACACAGCACATAATACCGGATATACTGGGGGACAGTGAGTTGCCTCCACTAGGCTTACCTATCTGAAATGTGTGCAGTGTGTTACCTGGGATTATTAGCAAAGAGGCTCTTTCAAAACAAATATAATGCACATTAGATATTTCCTCCCAATTTTTGACAGAATTTTGAAAAAGGGGCGTTTTGAATATGTTAAAGACATTTTCTCTCTCTTTTTCTCTCCCTTTGTCTCCTTTGTAAAAATATTTCTAATCTAGCATCCAACAGGCGGAAATGGGAGCTGCAATGGATGCGCTCGAAAAATGTGAGTTGTTTTGGCAAACCCCATCACCCCCACCACCATTCCACCCCCCACACACACATTTTCACACTTCAAGCCTTTCACACGCTTTGCCTCAGTGTTGAATATTAGCCTTGGCTGTACAGTGTTCATGGTGGCTGGCAGAGAGCTGTGGCCCGAGCAGCCGGTTGGCTGCGACATATAGGACATTAGGCTGTTTGAAGTGCGAGCCCAGAGCATAGGCACGGGGCCTAGCCAGAGATGGAGAAGCCATAAAATATAGATGGGGGAAGCTAAGCATCCTCGACCATGTCAATCATCCCAGGGGAGCAGAGGAAGTTTGTGTCGAGGGCCGCGCAAAGTTTATATGTTTTAGTTGTGATATCAAGCCCTTTTATGGAGCACAAGAGCGACACTTCACAGTCTGAGTGACTCTCATATGCTCAGCACTCCTCTTCAGATTTGAAGGAGTGCGGCTGATGTGTCCCCTACATGCTGCTTCACTCCTTGGCTGTTTTTCATCTCGTCATCAACCACCACTTAAGGAAAAATAGATAATGGTTTTTAGGCATTTACAATGCCTCATTCACTGCCAAGTAAAAATGCAATTACCGTGCCCTCAGAAACACATCTATGAGCCATTTTCATCATCTCCCCTTCACCTCTTATACTTGGTGCATATAGATATGTAATGTCATACATTACACTGAGCGTGTTAAGAGTTTGGTGTGTTGTGTGTGTTCTAGAGCTATTTTTAGACTGACTCGGCTGCTATCACTGTGACCACCACATTAATCAAATGTACAATTTGTTCTTTACTCAACTAATTAGCTGGAGGTGAACACAAATGGCTCTGTTGGAACAGGCTCACAGAACTTGCAAAGGGCGAGAAGGTTAAACTTTGATTTCGTTTGGCTCATAAATGAGGCCTCCAGCAACTTGTGATTGATACTGTTTGTGCGCCTGAGCTTTTTATGAAACATTAGTGTTAGGGTGTTATTATTTAAAGCAGTGCTTTCCGTCTCCCTCTCAGTCTGCTTCTGCCCCCCCCATCTCGCTCCCTGCTTATCAGGGGGTGTAGTTCACTGCACACACTCTCTCTGTGTCTTCCTCCCTCCCTTAATTCCTCCCATTTCCTGTCCCCAGTGTACACCTCTGTCACTATGATTGATAGATGCTCATTGCTAGTAAATGAACATTTCCCCCTTCATAAATTGCTGTTTTGTGTGACTAGATTAGCAATGCCTTTTAAAAGGTCAGTTAATTTAAAACCATCTCTTCATGTTTTCATTCCTACGGAGCAAAATTCTTCCAGTATGAGGGCTTTGTTTGACTTGGTGTTGTCACTTAATTCAAACCCGCCAATTTGCTACTCACCACTCAGCTCAGTGTATTCTTTTCTTTAACCTCCTGTTGCTCAGTACCTGAGGTGAGCCTGTCAGTTATATGGTTTTAATTCATTATTACAAAGAAAAAATGTAGACAGGTGCGCCAGTTTTAAAGATGATTATACTGCCTTAGAAACAGTCATTGGTTCCACCAACCAATCAGGTCTGTTCCACCGTCCATTTTAATGAAATCTACACTACCGGAGCCTAAATTAAATCACAGTGGTACAGGAAACCCTACCATAACATTTATGCTCTGTTATTCCACTGATGAATCCTTCTGGCTGAGATAAATATACAAGGTCAGTCAGCAGGGTCCAAACACGCCTTTGAAGGATGTGTGTGTCTCCTGACTATGAGCTTATGTAATGAGACCTGAGCTCATCTGCTGCAGAACCGCCTGATGCATCAACTCCTATTTGGGCTGCACTGGCTTTTATGTGATTGTCAAGGGCCTCGCTTCATTTGTTCACATAGCAAGACTAATCAAGGACATTAGCCTCAGTGTCGTGTAATTCGTCATTGATTGTCTTGTTGGCCCTGGCTTCAGCACTGGCTACACCATCACTTCTCTTGTACAACAGTCCTACCTCATGTTACTCTCAGATCGAAACCCCTTCTCCGCCATGTGTCAGGATTCATTTCCATGTTTTATTTAAAGCCTCCTTGAGTATCAGCAGCACTTTGAGCAGGATTGAATTTTTTTGTTGCTGCAGAGCTCTCCCTGGCTGACAGAATCCATGGCTCCAGCCGTGTCGGAGAGGTGTGAGACATGGCTGTGTTCAGTCAGACAGCTCAGGGCTCATTAAAGAGACCAGGGCCCGGTATTTGGTGTGTGCGCTGTCTGTAGCCGATCCACTGGTGGCTCAGCTGATTCGTATTTTATTATTTGATGGCCCACATTTTGACAGTCTCCTGTCTGTATCTGTCAAGGTAGAATTAAATGTTAACTAAGGCCCAGACTGGGAGAAACATGAGTGCAAACAGTTCGAGCTGAGAGCAGCCAGGTAGGGGAACGGAGTCGACACAAGGAAGGAGTTGTCGGTGCAGAGTTTCTCAGGCACTATGCACCGTTAGGTCTAAGGCGACATCAAATATACATGGAAATGACTTACCCATTTATCAGTCATCCTTACAGATACTACTGTCCAGGTTTGAAGTCTCCAGTCTGACTCTGCTTTCCATTTTTTTTTTGGCTTCCTTGCAGCTGCTTCTCAGACAAAGCAATATCTGTTGAATAAGAGAAGGAGCCTCAATCTGGCTAGTACCTAGAAGGGAGCTATGTTCTTTCCTCAGCTTTCTCTTGAACCCCTTAATCTCCAGATGAAAACACTGGATGGATAGAGGCGAAGTAAAGTACAGTATGCAAAATCTCTATCCACTGGTTTAACTCTATTGTTTGCCCTTTGGCATAGTAGAGAAATCTCTTCAACAGCACAAGCGCACTATTAGCGTGTTGACTGATGTGGTTTGCATGAGCTCTAGGTGACAGACTCAGCTGAAGCAATCTTTTGTGGAGTCATCTCACAGCCTGAGCTTCAGCTGAATAGTGAAAGAACACTGTATGTTCTTGTGGCATAAAAGGGGAGCTGATCCTTCATCACAGATTCCACATTAAGCCTCCGTGGGCACAACAGACCACGTTGTTGCCGAGGCCCAACTGCCAACACGGCTCCAAAGGCAGTTACATCCTGGACCTGAAGACTGCAACCTCTGTCCTTCAGAAACATTACTGCATCGTTGATAAACAAAAGACCTGAGGCGGGCTAATTGTGCTAATGCCGTAGCCAGAGGTAATCAGCATGCGGAGTGCACCACTTCTCAAAGGTGCTTTTCTCCAGAATGCTGGACGGCTGAGAATTCTCAATATGACTTTTTGATGCCCAACACAGACTGAAATGAAAAGACCTTGTCTACTCTTTAGCAACCCTATTCTTTGATGCCTGCTGTTGTGCTGCATGTTAAACAATGTAAATGGCCAAAGCATTATTTTTTCCCTCTCGAGTGAGTTATTCTCAAGTCATCTCCCAGGGAAAAATGCTGATATTTTCCATATTTTAACTGCAATATGTAGTTTTCTCTCCAAGGCCCGCCAAGTGTTGCTTACTCACCCAAAGCACACTGAAGCAAAATGTGTATTTGTATGCGTGTGTGTGTCTCAGATATCCCTCAGAATTGTATTCTTTCTTTAGGATGTTTTTTATTTGATCCTTCTTGTTAATAGGATATTGCTGCTATCTTGCACTTTTCCTCTTTGTCATAATGACGGATTAGAGTGTTGCAAGTGGAAGAATAGGTACCATCTCCTCTTCAATTCACAAGTCAAACACATCTGTTATGTGATTTGCAGTTTTGGCCAGTGCCTCATTTATTATAGGAGCTCCTTGAATTCTGAATACAAGAACTAGGTGCAGATGACCAAAGCGCTACATGACCTTTAGATGCTCATGGCCGATTCCTTCTGACAGTCAGTGTGCGGTGAATGTGTTGTACTGAGGCCAATTACTGTTGACGGCTTTTGGACCAGAGGAACTTTTCATAGTTCATAGAACTGTTGGATAAAGTTACCCCCTTGTCTGTGTGTCCTGACTGACATATTTTTAAAAACCGTGTTAGCCATGTATAGCGATCAATAGCCATTACCAGTAGCATGGAGACAGCAGTCTGCCAATGGAAGCCTCTGCAGAGGGTTAGTGACTCATTATATAAATAACATATAAAGAAAATACTTACCAGTAATGTGATGTCACTATGTGTTAAGCATTGTGAGCTTGTTGGCTAATTGCTAACAGTCAGCTGGCTTTTAGTGTAACATTACTTCAGTGTTCCTACTGTCAGTGGAAATGCAAACAGAATAAAGCCTGTGTAGTCCTCAGCAGAGCTCCCCAGTGGTGTAGTCTCTGGAGCTGTCTTGTCCGAAATAACCTTATGACATGCAGTAAAATACTGAACAGTACTCATTCACAGCTTCTAAGAGCTCCAGGTAGATTCTTTTAAAATGTGCTTTGTCTGACCAGTAGTCTAAAACCCAAAGATATTAAATTAAATTGAATATAAAACATAAAATTAATACATTTTCACATTTAAGAAATTGGAAATAAAGAATTTAAAATTTTTAACCTGATAAAACTGCTCTGAAAATTCCCATTCTGCCAATCAGTGAATCTAGTAGCCATTACATTTAACACAGGAAGCACTATAATTGTTTCCGTGTCTGCTCAGCATTAGATTAGGCATTCTCTAAATAAACTGGTAGTTGTTGCTAATGAAGAACCAGAGAGATGGGTTTCAACACAATACAGATGGATAATGTATCGGTCCAATATGTGAGAACAGTTTTTACTTCCCGTGGTGTATTCTCAAATCTTGCACATGGGTCTGCGGTGGTGGGACAGCAGCCGTTTCCAGAAAACACTTAGAAAGCACAGGCTTAATTTCCATGCCAGATAGTTGAATAGTTGGCTCAAACCCTAAGGCACCATATTATCAGCTGTGAGTCCACTCTCTGGACAATAGTAATAATTAAATTGTCCCATTTATCAGAGGATAATATCCACTATCTGCCCATGATGCGGTGCAGGCCCAGTGATGCATTTTCTGTTGGGTTGGCTCTGTACCTGAGCACATTGGATCTGAAATGAAATGGAGAGGTCAAAGTGCTAATTCTCAGCTTTAAGGGTGTTTAAGGGCACTGACATCCATACTGGGTAAACAGTGTAGACATCGTCGACCTCTATATACAGTAGCTAGTCCTTCTAAGACAAATCTGAAGGTCAGAGTTTTACCATGGAAGATACAGGTGTTTGCTGATCTCTGTGGGTCTTCAGCAGGTATTTACAATAAAATATTAAAGATGACTTTATTTTTGTTAATTTGTTCAGTATCTTCTGGTGCATTAAATGTGTAGACTGTGTTAAAAGGACTGATTTCCCTAACAAAAATGCCAGAATGAGGACCATTATAATATTTTATTCAAATACATATCTTTGTGGGTCATCTCCTTTTTCATCATAGACTGGCTTTAAATGTTCTGTGGAAAAATGTATTGGAAGACGGATTTGTCAGAGTTTGCATGACCGGAAAAATTGCACACTCAGGTCTGTCTCTCAGCAAGTTGGCACTCTCCACCGGGCTGCTGTCGTGCTTGCAGTTTAAAATTGAAGTGTGCAGTGGATAGAACCAGCAATGTAAATGTGTAATGGAAAATTACCTAGGCAATGAATAGCAAAATTACAAACAATGCTACAGTACCTGGTGGGTCAGTGAATTGAACTGAACTCCCACCGGCATGGCTGAAAACCAAAGCCAGCTTCCCAGTGAGAATCAAGTAGCTCCAAAAATAGTCTTTTGTTTACTTGAAAAATGTAGTGCTCTCTTATGAGTTAGGAAATTGTTCTACAGTTTAACTAGAACTGAAATGATTAGCTATTGACAGAAAATTGACAAGTTGTGATAATCGTTCTAGTGCCCAAAAGGTGACAAAATCTTCCACCAGCTCCCAAATGGGGAAGTTTGCTGATTTTCCTCACTTGAATACTATTGAAAATGGGAAAAGAAAATGTTTATGGATATGATCAAAAATAGCAAAGGCCTGTATTTGAATAGAGAGTAAGGGGTGTTCTGTGGCCAGACAGTTCAGGAGCATATGACATAACCATGATGCATTCATGTCCCAGTTCGGGGGCCTTTGTTGCATGTCTGTCTCTAGCCTGTCAGTTATTGTATAAAGTTTTTTCTCAGTAACTACTATAACCAGGACCTTATTTATGGGAAATTTTCAGAATAATCTGAAGTAGTTTAGGTGTGTTTCACTGAGTCGTGACCTGTCAGATTCAGTCGTTGCTACCATCATTATATCCAGGTTCCCTCGGTATTAGCCAAAATTTGGGTTGGAAAGCTCTAGCCAAGTTGGCAGTGAGTCGAAAATCTCAAATTAAGATTTCATAACCTCAGTTTAGGAACTAATGGCTGATGTAGCCTATGCTATGTTCATGCTGTCCTGCACTTTACTGGTTAAATGCCAAGTAGTAGCAGTTGTAAAAGAAACCTGGTAATCAGCAGCCTCATGTGTTTTTAAAACCGTGTGAGACAGTGAAACAACTTTTTTAAAGATCATCTGTACTACAACTGCAATAAAAAGCAGTTCTGCTATTTTGTCTGTTGCCTATATGTTAACATCCTGTCAGCTTGTATTTGTTGATTTGTTTTTTTCCTGCTGTCACACACCATCTTATTACAGATGTCATTTAGAAGTGTTCTCTTGTAATTGTGCTATCAGATCTCATAGTCACTGTGCTGAAACCAAACAAGGCCTGTCTAATTTCTTGTTACTTCATCATCATTAATGAAATAACAACATGAGGGCAATTTAACTGCAATATTGCCTGCAACATTTTTGCTCATTTGACCATTGACAGCATGGCACTTGTTATAAAAACTATAGTTGGTGCAATTTGAGTCCTAAATTGCTGTCCTCGCCCAGCTGGAAACTGACCTTGTCTCTTCGCACCCCTGCCTCTGTGTCTCTCTCTTTATCTGTTCTCCTTGGTCGACTTCTCTCTGTTTCCTGCTCTGCCTCTCCCTGTACCAGATAACTTCCCACAGATGGCTCATCAGAAGCGCTTCATCGAGCGGAAATACAGACAGGAGCTGAAGGAGATGAGACGAGAGAGGGAGCGGCAGGAGAAGGAGATCGACGAGGCAGAGGAATTCAGGAAGTGACAGCACTGTTTTTGGGAGGCGTAGTCAGAACCCCACATCCACATCAAGGCGGCCTGTCTGCACAGAGCTGTTGAAATGGAGGCGCCACTCTTTGATCACACAGCTGTGATAGTTTAAGAAAGACTGGTCAATAGTTGGGTTGATTCTTGACCTACAGATTTTGGTGAAATTGTTTTTTGTCCACAATTTTTAAAGTTAAAATGGAAAATAAGGCTAACAGAATTAGAAATTAAGCAACGTGCCGTCATGTGTCATCTGTTTGTTACAATAGCACTGTCAAAAGTGGCCTTATGTTCTCTGATGCTTATGTTTATTGCCTAATCTTTAATGAATCTAAAACCACAGCAGTGTTATTGACAAATGCTAGAAAATCAGTTTTTAAACTTTCAAAGCTAATTTAGTAAATAAAAGTTTAGGTCAATTGAGAAGCTAAATTTTTGCCTTTATTGTGATCCTCACCTGCTCCGTGCTAAACCAGATAAACGGGTGAGCCATTTCTATTCAGTCACTACAGTGTTACCATCTGTCTCACATCTGCCACTCATTCTCATATAATCAAAATGATTTTCTCCAGCTTCCTTGTTTTTAACCTTTCCCCAAATCTGATTGGCTGTCTAACAGATCTTAATTATAGATTGGCTAATTAACAATTTCCTCAGCTCAGTAGCCTCTGGGTCCAGCTTTTTCACAACAGCCTTCATATTAATAACTATCTGACATGTAGAGTTGAGTCTTAGATTTGTTGTAGATAATATACATATACCTGTGAGGAGGTAAATGTCTAGTCTATTAGCCTGTGGCTGTCGTCGTATTTCAGATAAAAGTGAAATTTGATGCCATAACTAGAGGGAAAAAAGGTCCAATGATAAACCTGTCAAATGTTATTATGGAGTAATTTTCAACAAAGGAAATAGGCTGTTTTTAAAGATTTTTAATTGTCATATAAATATTCAGTACAAAAGATCACATTTTACAAAGCAGATTGATGAATGGCCAGTGACCTAGGGCCCCTTACACTACCACAACCTCTCCAATTGTTTCTACATTGACAAATCAACTGATCAATCACATTGTCACCAACATAATATACTGTAGTAGAGATGTACCCCAATGCCGACCATGTGTACATATTAACAAGCACAGATCTATTGTAACTAGAGGAGGAGGACATCGGCGTCACCATCTAGTTGCCTAACTTAAAAAAAAAATAAAAATCCCAAGATGTGGAGATGCGGTACGTTACAATATGCAACATTTTTCTGTTAGCTGAGCATGGTGCCAAATCTCGGAAGCAATTATACTGTTCATAGGAAAACACAAGCACAGATTAATAATGGCCATATGTTGACACCCTGAATGAAGATAGAAAATAATGAAGACTGAAGGGAAAAAAGCTTTTGGTGAGTGCTGCTGTCATGCTGATTTCCATTTGAGACTCACATTATACCTTGAGGCAGAAAACCAGCTTTCTTAGAGTAAAGGTTTTTGTTTTTTTTTTAATCTAAGTTAAATGGTTCTCATAGCCGTAGTCTGAAATGGCCACTTGTGAAATGGCAGCTCCAACAAGAAGTTAATAAACAAGGGTACCAAAAAAAGACATGTATACAGTAGTTGAACATATAAAAACCTCCCCACCACCATGCTATCAATTGGACAGTGTACTGTCGTTGATTAAAAAAGTATTACTAGGGCAGTTATGCTATTGTGTTTAGTTATTATTGTTTCAAATGTCTGATAAATGTCAGCCTCTTCACAAGTTGGTCTTTCGTGCTTTAGCTGGACTGATCTTACCATTCTGCCTTCCTAGTTCAGCCAGCCCTCTTTATTTCAAAAGCTGTTTATTTATATTGAGAATGTACTCATTTAATTTGACAGCATTGTTTTGTAAGGATCATTTTAAATTTGTTTTCTAAATCCCATTTTAACCTAAACCGTGTTGTGTGTTCTTGCTGTTGGATGATATTCTGACCTTCTCTTTGAGCCAACGACACCTCCAGGTCTGAGAACCTTATTCCACACCGCTGAAAGGTCAGATTCCGCTTGATAAGCATTTTTATGAAAGAGGCTTTTCATCCCATAGGAAATCCTTTAAAGCCTGAACACTTGGGTCTGGCTTCATGGTCAGCACTACTCACTGGAAACGTAATGAAGGGCAGGGACCAGAGTACAAAAAGAGGCCTTTTAAAGGAAAATACAGGTGTTCTTTTCTTTTTTGGCACATTTCTTTTACTTAACTGCAGAGTTAAATTGTTATACATTCAACTGTGTGGGACAGAGCGCTTGAGTGGACTGTACTTTCTATCTTACTAAGAAGCTCTAATGCTGCTGTAACAGTTCCTGTGGAACATTTGTTACAGTACAGGTAGGTGTTGTTCCTGCTTTCATGGACACAGACAGGCCACTCTTCACATACCTTTTAACACATCAGGGATGTGGGTGTTGATCAGGGACATCTCCATGCCACCCCCTGCAGCTGGTCCTTGGATCTTTGTTAAACCATTTTAGCTGATTTCTGTCCCCCAATGCAAGTCCTTTCTTCTTAACCAGAGCCAGATAATTCCTTTTTCAGCCTCCTCAGATGGCTCTTGCAGAGTTTTCTTGAGCATAGTTCCTTGCATTCCCACATCTCTGAGGAAACTTATGTAACCACAACTTCTGACCTCCACCGCATAGACCATGACCTTCCAGCCATTCTTCTGCGTTCATTCACCAAGTAAGTGCAGCGTGCGCTCTTCTTCTCATACGCCGCCTCTAGGCTTTCATCTCATCAGCTCTATTAGCTCTATTAGTCAACTGCCTTAGGGAGTTGTTGTTAATCTCAGAAGGAAAGCGCAGCTAACTGTCCAAGTCTGCTTTCATCTGCCACACCTCTACCCAGGGGTCTTTCTTTCCCTGTGATTACTTTTGACCACCATGTTGTTGCATTCTCCAACGGAAGCTGCTCATATCTGCTTTGCCCCATCCAAGGCCTGCTCGTCCATGTTTGAATCTCCCAGCCAGCTCTTGATATTGTACCTCGGGCAAGATGGATGCTGGACTCCTTCAATTCTAGCATCAGCCTTTTCTTCTTTTGCGTTTATCTCACCAACAAGATGGACTACACAGGCAGCCTCAAGATGTTGTTGCCGAACAGGTCCAGCCAGGTAACTTGGAAGTTGGCCTTTTAAATGCCCATTTAAAAGACCATTTTCCTTGTGAGAAGAATACAGAATGAAACACTTGCTTTCTATAATCAAGATGAGCAGAAAGATCGGTATTTCTGCTTAACCGAGCAAGGTGCACATAAGAATTTTTATCAGTGTAGCATTGCCAATAACACTATTCTATGTATGTAATTTTTCAACCAACAACTGGGATGCAAAAAATGATTTTGATGACATTCAGCTCAAAGAAATATTTGGTATCTCAGCTCACCTCGCAGTGAATGGTCAGAGCTGTGTGGAGATGAAACACAGACACTGTGTAAAAAAAAAAAAAAAAAAAAAATAGCGTGTTTGCAGGTATTTGTGGCTGTAAATACCATAGTCCTCTACTCCAGCTTCATGTAAGCTTTAAACAACATTACCCACTTTTTACAACGGCAATGTGCCACAGCTAACAAATTTTTATACCTCTCCCATCCAATGTATATGAAGATTTCTTATTTTTTCATTTGAGATGATGCCAAAACGTTTTGGCACTTACGGCTCAAGCACAACCATGGATAAGTGGCTAATGTGGGGCAGCTATCGCTAAAAGGGGTATGATTTGGACAATAGAAATCCATAGAAAAACAAAACAACTGTACAGCGTATTGTATTATATTACCATACATACACAAGCTAAGATAAACTCACAATATGCAGCATGTTTTTATCCCAGAAACACTGAAAAATACGTAGGCATATCTGTCAGTTTACAAAACTGCTTGTTGGATGTTTTCATCACAGGCAGCTTTGAAAAAACAAACAAAATATCCATGTAGATATATTTGGGCCTCTTGTACACCCATATAGAGACAAAAAGTCTTGACGCTCACTCTTTTGACTGTGCCCTTGCAGAAAACGCAACTAACACTGACTGGACACAAAAAGCCTACGTCTGGTCACTGGAGGTACTGCTTGAATGGTGATCAATGGCAGTGATAGAGCACTTGGAAAAACAGTGCTCCTGTCTTGGTTGTTTTGCCATTTTTCACACCACACATGCACCAGAATTGCCCAAAAGTTTTAAACCTGTTTCACTTTTACATTTGTCTCCTAGTCTGTGTGCCAGACTCTCATTAGGAATCCCTGTCGCTGTCATCGCCCCCATACATGTCTGCCAGTTTCTTAAATCGGGGTCCCCACTCACTCAGGTAGTTGTAGTCTTGGTCACCTTCTGTCGTCACCGACTCAAGTGAACTAAGGGACTCTGCTACGGAACCGTTTCCTTCGTAGGCGTAGGTGGCCAGGGAGTCGTAAGGCGGTGCTGTTGGGTCACAATCGTTGTCCTGGAGCCTCTGGCTGATGAAGTCTCTCACATCTCCATTATTGTCCCTGGTTGGTGGCACCACAGGCCGTCGGACTGGAGGGTAGAAGGTCTCTGGGACAATGTCCCTCCGCTGCTTGCTCTCCTCGATGGCCTCCGGGTTGCGCAGAGTGCCAATATCAAAGGCCTGAGTATCCTCTTCTCCACCCCCTTCATCGTTGTAGCTGACAACATTGTCTCTGACATCCTCTTTGGAGATGATCAAAGGCTCCTTTTTCCTCTGCCTCCTCAGGGCAGCAAACAGCACCACGATCACTACAAGGAGAACAAACATAAAGAGAACAAACAACAGAGTTTGGTGACTTTTGCTGCTGGTTCTTTGCTCCCCCTCCTTGATCCGGAGGCCAGAGAATGTCCAGGGGGAACCGTTGAAGTTGCATCAGTGTTCAAAGATCTTCCCATGTTGGGATTTTGACTTGAACAGACTCTGCCACCACAAGAATGCAATTTGTATTTTTTTTTTTTTTTTTTTTGTTTTTCATTGCTGCTGCTGCTCCAGATCACAAAGGAATCCAGGTTCTGGGCTAGAATGCACCTTATGTACCATTATGTAGCACTATGATGGCAATGAAGCTATGCTAATCTCAAAGAGTTATTGATGGATTCCAAACATGGAATCCAATATTTTTTTTCAGTGTCAAAAGCCTTCTTGCATTCTACATATGGAGGTCACTGGTTCAAAATCAAATGTACTTTGGAAATTGCATGGTCCCAGAACTAGGGTTTCTAACAAATTTGACCTAGGCCTTGATACAGTTTCTGCAGTCTCCAGAAACTGAATGTGAATGACTGGCCTTTCACACAGTGGACATAAAATGTAATGGACTGCCATTATCCCGGAAAGGACAATTTCTTAAGATTCTGATGGAACTTAGGTGAAAAAGCTATCAGTATATGCAGGAACTAAAACGTATGTGAGGCATAAATACAACTACAGCATCTACTGTGTTAGCACTGGAAAGAACAGTATGCAGCTGTACCACTGATAGCTACAGTATATCACTGCCGGCAGACGTTTTATATAAAAAATGCACCTGTCTTTTCATGCTAAAGCACAAAGTGTGGTTGTAATAAAAGACGTTTCCCCAGCTGAAATGCTAAAGATCTTTGTTATTTAGATTTTGATGTTCAAATCAGATTAACATCACCTGTGGTCACTGGCAGAATTATCGACTCACAGACAGTGATGAATCAAATTAAGGAGTGAAATACAAAATTTACTACCTGTGAGAGGTGGTATGCTACAGCAAGAAACTCTTGATTATATCTCTAAGAAACACTCAAGTCTTATTCTCAGTGGTTACATAAAACTCAAATTGAAAAACAGATGTTTGTAAGACTGAAGTATGAAAGTGATTATCTTTCACCAAAGAAAACAAAAAGGATCTTCTCTCATAAATATAACCTGCTATCTCATAATTATGGGATCTTATAATTACAAAAAAAGATCTTATAATGACCAGATTTTTTTTCTCAGAATTATTATGTAACACCAGAGTTGGAACACTACAGAACTTACCTGAAGATAATCAGGCTTTAATTAATTCTTTAGTATCAAAGTAATTGAGTGACGTTAGTTCATCCAGTAATGCACAGCAGAAGTAAACTGTTATTAGCTAATTTGGCGTATGTACTGTTCCAAAATGTAAACAAATATAAGCTACAATCAGGCCTCTGAGTTGCTGCCTACAGTGTAACTCTATATTCATGCATTGAGCAGGAGCTGGAAAGCTTCAGACCCTGCTTGTTAATGTACTGACAGCTACCACTGAATTACTTTACACCTGATGATTCTCAGGAAGGGTCTGCAGCATTGCAACGCCTGCATTATCTCACAATTACAAGAAAAATATATTGTAATTATGAGAATTATTTCTCACAATGATGACCTACGTATTAATTACAGATGGAGGTAATTATTTTTTGGTGAATGCGACTGCACTTCTGTAACTGAAATGCAGTTGCATTTGAGTAGTTTTCTTGCAGCAGCCACTTACCGAGTAGAATGATGACACAAAGCAGGATGGCCACCAGAGCTCCCGTGCTGAGTCCCGCCCTCGCCGTGAGTGCCTCGGTGTTGCACAGCTTCATGTTGCCCTCACGATCACAGGTGCACACTCTGATGGTCAGCGTGTTGGTGCTGCTTTGCATAGGGAACTCTCCATCAGAAATGACCACAGGCACGTGGTAGATGCTCTTCTGTATACTGTTGTAGCTGTTCCTCCGTGTCAGGATCCAGGCTGTGTTGTCTGAAAACAACAAATGATCCTGTTAATATGCAGCAATCAATAATAAGAAAGAAAGTTCCAACAGATATTCCATTTGGTCAGTGAATGTGTTTTGTGTTGTGGAATTAATAAATCTGAGCATATACTGTACAGGACACCAGTGGATGTAGTTAATAATTGGTGTCTTAAGGGAATGTTATACAAAAAGACTGAAGTTAATCCAGTGACCATAGGTGAGAGTAGACTACCTTTATTATCTCGAACAGAAAAGTTGGCCTTCCCAGCAGCATCCTGCGCAAGACTGAAGAAGAACCGATGTCCTCCGAGGGGCTCATCGGGATCTGTGGCGCTCACGGTTTGTATCCTCTGAAACAAGAAAACAACAAATAAAGATGTGAATATGTGGTAAATGGTCTTTCTCTGCATTGCAGCACACTCAACTTTCACACTATTTGACACGTCAGTGAGTAAATTAAAAGTTTCTTGCTCACATTGTTTGACCACACAGGTACAGGTACCCTGACGCCTTTCTCCGTGTTACCAGTTCGGTGGTTTCAGGAGGCACTTCACTCTATCTTAGTACACACACACGCCTAGCTCTTTTTGTGAGTATGATGCAGACTCTTATGCAAGCACTTTAGGTAATAACAGGAGTCAGTAAAAGTTCCGAATATATCCCTGATATGCAGGTGGATGACACAGTGGTTAAGGCCACTGATTGTGGTATGAAAGGTCATGGCTTCGCGACGGTTTACCGAGCAAAGATATTCCAAAAGACTTGACAAACATGGTGGGTGTTCACATTTGGGGTACCTCCTTGAGGTACCCCTTGTCTTTGTCCAAATGTTGAAGGACAGAAATGACCATCACCGGGCACTGGGATGAAACACCCACCACCTGTCTCCAAACAAGGGTTGTGTGGATGGGGTTGCAGCATCCTCAGCAGTGACAATGACCCCTACGCCCCGGGAACAAATGCACTTGATGCTGTTTTCTCTTGTAGCGGCTAAAGTCAGCCCAGATTTGGGTCACCACCTTTGTAAATAGACATGTTTCCACACCTGAACAAACCCACATTAGACCACAGTTTCATTACACTGTCTGTGCTCTGAAAGTGGTTGAATTTACGTGGTTGGCTCTGACACATTTTTGTAGGTTATGGCAGACCCCAGAGCCATCAGGTGATCCGCTATCATCCTGGTGTGCTCTTTTGCCAACAATGCTGACCTTGCAATCAATAGCCAGTCATCTATGTTATTTGCAATGCAGATGCCCTGGTTCTTTAACAGACCAACAGCTGTGCATCTGATGAGCATCTGAGAACTGAATACTGACAGTGGAATCAGTAATCAGTGGAGTTAACCACAGAGCTCTCCACCTGCCTGACAGGCGAAGGCACTCCACTCAGCCTAAGCAGCCACAGAGGTTCTTAGTCTTAGTCATGATCTTCAATGTCAGGCTTTCCTATGTTGTTGGAAAATCAACTTAGCTAAGCGCCATGTGACAACACACACACACACATTGAAATTCCGCATTTTGTTATGACTAGGTAAAATCCAGCTGCTCCAAGCCTGTGGAGCTCTAGATAAAGGATGGAGTCGTCGGACTGACTCCATCTCGTGATGTTTTGTAATCTTTTTGTTTAAGGGGTTAGCCCAAAACTTATAAATGTATTAGGCTCTGTGTGGCCAGGGCTCCTTTCTTCCAGCAGCCTGCATGGGGATGCCTGGAAGGGGAGCCACCTGGGTCGTATTTGTACTTTCATTTGTATTTTAAAATAAATCAGCACTAAAAAGAAGAAAGACGGACGCCTTCGTTATTCAGACCTGCCCAATAAAAGAACTGGGGTATTACACAGGAGTCAGTAAAAGTTCTGAATACATTTCTGATGTGCAGGTGGATGGCACAGTGGTTAAGGCTGCTGACTGTGGTACAGAAAGTCATGGGTTCGAGCCAGTTGACCAAGCAAAAACACTCCAAAGGAGGGCGGGCATTCATGGTTGGGGTACTTCCATGAGGTCAGTTGAGGTGTAGGGACGGTACTGTCGGTTGAGGTGTGCAGACGCCACGGAAAGTGGGAGACCTTTTTAAAAAAAGAGAAGCTGCTTTCTACCTTCCCCAGCTTTCTCCACCTTCAATTGCACCTCAATCCAACATTCCTTTCGACATCTTTGATGGTGCACCTCAAGCAGGTACCCCAAACATGAACGCTCACCGTGTTTGTCAAGTCTTTTGGAGTGTCTTTGCTCAGCGAACTCGCGTGAACCCACAACCCTCCATACCACAGTCAGCAGCCTTAACCACTGTGCCATCCGCCTGCATGTCAGGGCTATATTCAGAACTTGTACTGACTTCTGTTATTACCTAGAGCAGTCAGGTATCACCCTGGTTGTGAATTGGGTCACATTCATATGTTGAATCATTTGCTAATAATGCAGAAAGTCTTTTTCCTGAGTGGCTGCCTTGGTTTAAATGGACTCTCTCACACCTTTCCAGAATGGTCTTTTGTCATACAGGGTCACGCTGTCTCATTTAAAAAGGGCTATTAGCATAGCAGTCACCAGTGTGAGGCTCTCGGTCTAGGAAGCAGTATGAACATCAACCAAACAAACTTTGCAGAACTGTTTTAGCTAGTTGTGCCTAATGTTAGGTACTTTCTTAGTTAGATAGATATTGATCAGAGATTTGTTGTATTAGAAATGTTAGTGGAGACAGATTGACTAGCTCAGGCTGTTAACTGTTCAGTAATGTACTTGCAGTGCAGACTGCAGGCAGGTCAAGGTTACAGGCAAAGAGCTGTTAGTGTCAACTGTAATGCTAGTCTTAATATTTGTCTTAATGTGTAAGGTTATGTCCAATTGTTTTAGATACACACCACGAAAACAACAGCCACACACCTTGACTTTTCCTCATGTTTTGGCTAACGTTATAGCCAGCTGCAAAGCTGAGAGACGTGCTTATCGGGTGACGTCACGGTTCGACAGCCCAGAAAGGATTAATATTGTATAGCAATGCTTGGTTGGGGGTCTTTTGGGTTTCCGGGCTGCTTTGGCAGCCTGGGGGTTGGAAGATCTCTGGACTGGAAGTGTTAATTCTTGCCTGTGACTCTTTGAATAAACCAGCACGGTTATATTTTTATATACTCAAGTGGTCTGAGTCGTCCCTCGGAGTTCCTGGTTTGAAAGAACCGGACAAGGCTTTATAATAGAATAGAGCCTTTACTAATAAAGTGGTAACTGGGTGCACGTGCTCACACATAGTCCATATTATGTTTAAAAACAAGAAATATTTCCTTGTTTGCTGTAACAACAATGCTTTGTTGTCATTTCTGTATTTTGCCACCTTCATCAAAGATGCAGGCTCAGTTTGTGACACAAGTTACCACTTAGAGTTAGAACGTAACACCAGTACCAACAGAGCAAGAGATAATACATCTATTTCTTTGCCAAATAAGAATGCCTATACAGTATATACAATACATACTACCAAAAAAATGTGTGGCATTACAAGTAGATCAACTCCCAGGCAGCATGGAAAGTGAACAATCATAACTGTATTCTGTAACACATACATTGATACTGTGCCTTCACCAACTATTCGGACCCCTTCACATTTTGCAGACTTAAATCATCTGAAGATGGCACATGGTTTACAAAACACCTCCCATATAATCTGAAGGATGTTGACAGGATCTGACAAAGAATGGGATAAACTGCCAAAATTTTGTTTGTACAGACGTAAGCCAGAAGACCTGAAGCTGTACCTGCTGCCAAAGGGGCTGCTACATAGTACTGAATTAAGGGTTTGAATGCATTTGAAAATACAAGATGTCAGTTTTTGATTCTTAATGTATTTGCTAAAAGTTGTAAAAACACGTTTTTGCTTTGTGATTACGGGTTACTGGGTGTAGACAGATGGGCAAAAATCACAGTTTTATACACTTAAAGTGAAATCTACAGCACGTGCAAAAAGCGTGTAGACTGGACAAGCCGGGAATCAAACCACCAATCTTCCTGTTAGAAGACAACCTGCCCTATCTCCTGAGCCACAGCTGCTCATATACTACGAACCTCTCAGAATTTACCTGAGATCTAATCATATACCAAATGTATTTTATGCCTAGAGTGTGTTAGTACCTGATCAGCTTAACAGTCCAGTTTAGCTGATACTGCTTTACATTTCAGAAGCAAATACTGTGCTTTGTACTCCACTAGGCTGGTCACTCGTTACTTTTCCTATTATCAAAATATAAGCAACCAATAAAGTATGGGGCAATGCTGACAGTATAAAAAGTAGTTAGAATGAGCTCCACATTTAGTTGCACCATTAAAGTGAAGTTTATACATTCATGTGTCAGTAGTTGTTACCCAATTACACAAATATATTATTTTGAAAGGCACTTTTAGTATTCTAGGATATACAGATTGTTCTGAAAACATTTCTCCACCTCAGATATGAGCATAATGCAAAAAAAGGGTCCAAGGTGTATTAGTGAACCTACCTATCTAGTACTGGTATCCTAAAACACAGAGATTAACAAATTCTCTGTGAGATCTGCTAATTACACGCTGACCTGGAAGCAGACACGTAATCCTAACAAGGAAATCAAGATAAAATCATGACTGCTGTGGTATATTTGGTCGTACCAACCTGATTAGCCTTAGCATTCTCACAGACAAACGTCTCATAATTGGTGGCAAATGTTGGAGCGTTGTCATTGACATCCAGCACTCTGATGTAAACAGGCACACGGCTGTTCTGTTGCAGGTTGTCTAGGAAACACAAAGATAGACACGAGTTTACATTAATAATCATTTCTTAACCTAACACCTCTATACATATGTAATGTATTTAAAGCTTTTTCCCTTTTCCAAATATCTGACATGACAAAGAAACTTGAGGTGACTTATCCTGTAACTCATGTTCTCCGATTCCATGCGTGAGGCGTTTCACTGTGGAGAAGGAACTTGCACTGTTATCTTCAGAAGCCTGTATATCATTATTCCTGCCAGCACTGGCAGGCGCTGCTCACTCCTCCCCAGTAGAAGAGGTTCATGCAGCGTCACTCGTCATTCAAGATAAGCCCACTTCTTCCTCGATTTATGCTAGAACGTGTTCTGGTGAGAAGCCTCACTCATAATATCAAAGAACAGAGGTTATGGGATAAGTAACCCCGAGTTCTCTTTCAAACATTCGTTTAGTGTCTCACTATGAAATGCAGACTCTGTATCGTCAGACTAGCTTATCTTCCTGACTGACTGCCAGCCTAGGAGATGTAATGTGAATGTGAGCCCACACTCAGAATGGTGTGCGCCATGGATGATGATGCAGTGAAATCCAGCTGATAAAACTAAGCAGAGGTTAAAGGTGAAGCCCAGTTTTCTGCTGTCTTTTCCATCTGAACAAGCCCAGAAAGAGCACACCGTTTTCTAGTGAGCTTCTGAAACAAATAGCTGATCAGGCTAAAGTTTTCTCACTATATGCATGTAGAGCTCTCACTGGACAGAGTATGTAGAGTAAGTGCTCATGCCAAAGGGAGAAAAAGGGAAAGGACGGTAAAATGCCCCTATAACTACAAGGGAACACACACCAGGCAAGAAGGTAGGATTCGGCCTAAGAACCACCTTAGAATCACCTTGCCTGAACTGTTCGCATCGCGCATGAACAGACAGGTTGAGAATATCACTGACACATCGCGCTGATGTAAGACCTTGCAACAGAGCCGTCTTAACGGATTGTGTCTTCATCGCTACCTTATGTAACGTTCAAATGCTGGCTGCGTCTAACACCTGAGGTAAATGCCAGGAAGAGACAAGTGATTTGGACACTGGGGGTGTCCCTTCATAAACCAGCAGACTAGGGGGTGCTGGCTTACCAAACAGTCTGCCAGACCCACATGACAGCTTGAAACAGCTAGCACATGCTTTAATAGTGGGAAAGGCCTTGTCTTTGTCCAACAGTTGAAGGACAGAAACGACCATCATCACCTCGCACTGGGATGAAACACCACTCATCAAACACCCGCCACCTGTCTCCAAACAAGGGTTGTGTGGATGGGGTTGCAGCATCCTCAGCAGTGATAATGACCCCTGCGCCCTCAGGGACAAATACACTCGGTGCTGTTTTCTCTTGTGGCGGCTAAATTCAGCCCAGATTTGGGTCACCACCTTTGTGAATAGACATGTTTCCACACCTGAACAAACCCACATTAGACCACAGTTTCATTACACTGTCTGTGCTCTGAAAGTGGTTGAATTTAGAGAGATTCCTACGAAACACATATACGTGGTTGGCTCTGACATTTTTTGTAGGTTATGGCAGACCCTGGAGCCATCAGGTGATCCGCTATCATCCTAGTGTGCTCTCTTGCTACCAATGCTGACCTTGCAATCAATAGCCACTCATCTGTGTAATTTGCAATGCAGATGCCCTGGTTCTTCAACAGACCTGGCAAGATGGCTGTCTCTTTGCATCTGACAAGCATCTGAGAACTGAAGGGCAGAACCAGATACTGGGGATTCATTAAAACAAATCAAATCTATCAGAAGTGTTGCATTGTCTCTGTGCCCTTTGAACCCTGGAAGACCTCTGATGTAAAAACATTCTTGCAGGAAACTGTTTCACTAAGAGTAGCTTTAAACCAAACCAACAGATGACTGACAAAATGGTGATTATGGTAGGACTGTGGTTTTACATATGGATTTAGTCCTTAAAAATGGCAATTAAGCTTATTTTTGGGCAAAAAGGTTTGCATGTGCACTAACAGCAAACAAGCAGCTGGTTGTTTCTGCACCTAAAGGTAGATTAGAGACCCTGCCACGTCACAGCAAACATTCAGAGGTGAATTCAATTTGAAAAATTCCAGTTCCTTGATTCCTGTGTACTTACTCAGCTCCGTGGCGATGATGGAAATGTTGTGCCAGGCGTACTCTTCTCTGTCCAGCCCCCTCAGGATGAACACTGACCCGTTGCCTGCATGGACGTTGAACACTCTGTCCATGTCCGTGCGCCGATCAACAGAATACCTGCACAGAACACACACAGGGATCGGCTTTTAAACCTGTGCACTCAGGCTTAGTGGATGTGTGCTGTGTTTCCTGGGTGAGGATTACAGGGTACAGTCACATTTACAGAGCTTCTCAGGTGTGAACCAGAGTGGAAACAGTCACATTTACTTGGTTAAATTGACATTCTGTTGATTTAGTGGTTTCAGCAGGCAGGAGGTACTGCAAACAAGGTACTTCTTTACAATCTGATGATACTTCCTTTCTCTGCTATTTATACCAGAGAAGAACACTAAGGAAAAAATACTTTCAGTATCAATCCAAGCTGCAGTTGTCCCTCAGAAGAAAACAAACTTGTTTTTCACCTGCACAAATAAGCCTAAGCAAATCAGTTTAAAGGGTCTGTTTATCTGCTGCCACAAAAGTACAATGGAGCTATTTGAAATTTGCTAATGTGATATATTTTTAAACTCATCAGCAATATTCTTTTACAAAAACAAAGTGATAATTCATGACCTCGCTGTTGACCAGTCACAGTGAAGTCTTTGGATTATCCATGCTGTTGTTTCTGGAGGGAAATGTTACCATAACAAAATTCCGTTCACTGCCATCATATCTGAAGATCAAATCAATGATTCAAATGTAAAGTACAGCTGAAGTATCCAAACCAGGACTGGAAGCTGCTGACACCCTTTTACAATTGTTCTCATTTATTTTACCAAAAAAAAAAAAAAAAAAAAAAATCAAACACTGTGAAATTCTGAAAATTGACAGCTCATTTCCCCTCTGCAGTTCTAACATTTATTGTTGCTTTCACATTGAAGTGTATAAGTGCCACCATCTTCTACTGAGCCAATAATGCATTAAGTTAGCCTCTTTGATCAAAATGGATCGCCACTGCTTCTCTACTTCTACTTGAGCTGTTTAACCCTTGTACTTCAACCAAATGCCTGTCATATGTCAGACACAGCTTCTCGAATCTAAATGTTTAGTGCTGTCTGTGTTCTGGTGGCGTCGTAACACCACAGGAACAAATAACAAGTGATTCTTTAAGTTCAATCAGCAACATGGTCCCTGGTGGGAGAAGTACTCAGATTGTTTACTTGAGTACAAGCAGCAATACCACAGTGTAAAAATACTCTCTTACAAGTAAAAGTTCTGCATTCAAATTGTCACTTAAATACAAAAGTATCAGCATAAAATAAAAGTAAAAGTAAGTAAAAGTACTCGTTATGCAGAATGGCACAGTTCACATTAATGTACATGATATTATTGGACCATTACTGTTGGTGTATTATTGTGTAATGTTACAGCTGGTAAAGGTAGAGCCAGTGTTAACTACCTTGCCTTGTATGCTTATACTTTGATGTACTTTACATACTGTTGGGTAGCTTGTGAATTTGCTATCAGGGATCAGTAAAGTATCTACTGTATTTTGTTTAATCAATCTCAATCTGAAATGCAACTACAGTTATCGAATAAAAAGTACAATGTTTTCCTGTAAAATGTAGTCAAAGTGTGGAGTGGCAGAAAATAAAAATACTCAAACTACAGATATCTCAAAACTGTACTTAAGTATAGCACTTGAATAAATGTACTTAGTTACCACCTCTGAAGATGATTAACATGACAACAAGAGAACACATTTATTTCTGCATGTCATTTCCCACACAGTGGGTGGACTGAGTAGAGAGGTAACATCCTGTAGCTGCAGCACGGAGGCACAGCAGCACTCAGCAAACGCATCAGAGAAACCTTGGCACATGGAACTAAAACTCTGCACATGACTACACAACTAGTGGTAAGTAAAACGTTGTATTTCAGCTGAACCGATTCTGTAGCATATATGGTATAATGTCTGCTCCAGAGGTAAAAGTCTTGAATAATCTGTCCTGTGGTGATGATGGATTTGTAAGTGTTTGCAGTCTCACACACACACGAGCCAACAGGTTAACCAGTCATGTTGTTTTCTCTGCTTCCCCGACTACTGTGATACATCAGTGTGATTAATGGAGTAGCAGAGATCAGGAGGGTCAGCGTAAGAGGAAGCAGACCCCCGAGGGGAGACTATGAACTGGGCTCTCAATGCACCGTTGCACCTTTCCTCCCCCCTCCTCCTGCAACAAATGTTGTAGTGTCTTTATCTAAACACTCCCTCCTCATCTCTGCCTGCCTCTCCTCCACCGCTGCCACCTCACACGGGACAGCAGTACCTCTAACCTCATTATGTCCATGTTGGCGCCGGGCTTTCCTAATTGCTTTTCTAATATTCCCAATAATTCGGCTGGCTGGGTCCAACCCGTCTCCTGATTAATGAGAGGGAGATAACAGCGCGCCCCGTCCTGACCGGGCATCCAAAGTGCTGCTCTCAGCAGGCAGGCAGCTGGCTGTAGAGGAGGCCAGGCAGAAGGACATGGAGGGCTGCAGAGGTGTTAGTGCTCAGTGGGTCGGACATTTCCCCCTTTCCTGGCTCCAGAATCTACATGACTGGCTCCCAGCAGGATTCAGAAGAGCTTTTTCAAGACTGATTTGGAGACTTGTTGATCAAGAGCTGTCTATTTTGACCTGAGCTGAATTCAGGACATGTAAGTTAAATGTAATTAATGTTTCAAGACTTATTTAAATTATACTTTGGTTCTGTAGATGCATTTGTTTTCATTAGTGATTAATCTTAATCTTAATTTAAAACCACTTCAAATTCACAGGAATGGGACAGACGTGAGGTCACTGACCTTTGACCACCAAAATCCAATCAGTTCATCCTTGAATCCAAGTGGACACTTGTGTCAAATTTGAAGAAATTCCCTCATGTTGTTCCTGACAGATCGCGTTCACAATGGGCTGAACGGACGTACAACCTTAAAACATAAGCGGTGGCTACGCTAAGGTGACTACACTAACACGTTTCTGACTTCACTGACCGCCTAATAAAACAGTTCTTTCATTCTGAACTTGAAATATAGTGCACATATAATGCACATCATTGTTCTCCACAGTTTTTGTGGGCAGAGAAGCCCCCTTACATCATCCTCTCTTGCTCTTACTGCTGTTATTTTGCAGGTGAGGCCCCTAAAAAGCCCAGAATGCAATGCAACTTTCACCCCCTGGCGTCATTGTGAAAATTTGCTATTTCTCATGGAATTGCTCATGTTCAGATTTCTGTTTTTTCCGGTACAGACCACTGTTGAAACAAAGATCAAAAGCTCCAGACCAGTTACTAAACAGACTCTTTAAACTTTGGAGCTCAACTTCAGCCCAGTTTATCCTCTGCAGTTACATAAACCAAACATGTAGAAATATATTTAAACCCGAGGGGAATTGATGACATTTTCACTGTTTATCTCCAAAGTTCACCCTTGGTCAGCTGAAGACTGGGCACAGCATTGTGTATCACTGAAACCAGGACTATTACTAATCTTTAAGAGCTGGCAGCTCCTTGGGACAGAGTGATCCATCATGCCGTCAGCAACAAAACTCAGTTATCGACTTTTGACTTGAAACCAGGAATGGAAACATCTTTGTTTTGATTTCAGGTTTCACAAGCCTGAATATCAGAATAGTCCTGATACTGAGTTACTGTTCAAGTGTATCTGCATGTACCTGTGTACCACATATTCTATGCTTACTGAAGAATGTGTGTGCATTCATCCATGCCTAACTGTGCACGTGTTCGCGTGTGCGATGGCAAGCTGTGGCAGCTAATACAGATAACCATCTCAGTGACTTCCTGGTACGAGGCAGCCCCAGGGCCTCCCGGCCCTCCTCCTCCGCTGTGTGACTTTAAATGCCACGGGGCAGTTTCCTCCTTGATGATGGGTGATAAAAGAGAATGATATCATATTTGACACCTGCAATAAAGTGGTGGAACTTCAACCTTGAGAGCCAACTCCCTTAGTGCATCATAAAAATGAAAAAGACTTTGAGACAGAGTCGAAGGTGCAGCCTCTCACCCTGCTGCCATCACTCTCATTTAATAGAATACTCACTTAATTATGTCTCCACGAACTCAGTTATGAATGTGAGGGTTGTATGTCCAACAGAACAAGGTGTCCCTCTGCCAAGGCCTCACAATATACAGTGTTTTATTCTTTTTTGCTGCTTCTGAGCCTTTCGCATGATAGTTAATGGTTAAATAACCGACTCCGTGGGAGCTGTGACGCTGCTTGGTTAAAGCAAGTAATAATATCGACATGTACTGTAATAATACTGTATGTGTAATATAAGCTTCTAAACTCAAGGTTCACTTGCATGCCACAACCACGTTTTCATAGGTTAGTTACACTGTTGATGGGTGCACAGCACATTACCTGATACACAGACTTTTTAAATCAGGGTCTGTGAGCTTATTGTACTGGTCTGATGGAGGTCCCAAGACACTGGACATCACAACACAAATAGTAAAGTGAAGTTTACTTGGACCACAAATGGTAGGTGTGATCTAAACACACAGATTCTACCTCTTTTATTAAATCCCAAATGACTATAAAATCCCTAGAAGGTCATAATGTTTAGCCCCTGGGGCTGATACAGGTTCATTTATGTCACATATAAACTGGAGACTATAAAAGACAGTAGCTCCCTAGTTAAAGCATCAAATTCAAGACAAATTGTCTCAAAGCTGAGACCTTTCAAATGCAAACTTCACAGTTTTTGTTTTTTGGATGTATTTGTCCTACAACAGGAGGCAGCTGTTGGTTTCCATTCATGTTTGACCAGTTTAAAATGTAAATTCAAATCACGAGACATAATTTTCACCTCATAATTATCAAATTAAATTGTGATAATATTATCACAATATCTACAGAAACTGTGGAAAACTAAATAATGCTATCTGTCATATTCATCTTTAAGCATCGTTCTACTGGCCTTTCTGGTAGAGGACATAAAGATGGTCGGACCGAAGGCTCATAAGTGGAGCTTGAGTTACAGGTCTTCAGAGGTACATGTATGTTATTTAAGTCATTTGGAGAACAGCCTGTCACATTTTTATACTCTACACAAATTAATGGAAACCAATGGCTGCCTTGAAGTGCATTCAAAAAATCTAAACCCAACACCACAGTTTGTTAAAAGTCAAACATGTGGCTCAGTACCTGATGAGACTGCTTTTGTCGTCGGGGTCCGATGCGCTGACGGAGCCGATGATGGTGTTCCTGGCTGCGTCTTCTTTGACTTCCATCACATAGCTGGCGCGCTCAAACACCGGCGGCTCATCCACATCTTCCACGACGATCTTGATGGTGGCCTCGTCCCTGAAGGGCCCCATGGAGAAGAAGTGAGGGTTGATGTGGACGTTTTCCACCTGAACACGGAGACTGTACTGACGCTTCTTCTCATAGTCTAGCGGCTGGAAAACACAGAGAAGATGTAGCTGGTTAACGCACTGTTACTTTGTTTTCTTGACTTACAAAGATAATCCCTTTGTGATGTGTTGCTTTAATCGTACAGTAGATTTTGTCCCTTCATATTTGCTTTTAAACATTTGCATGCAGCTACACGTTCAGCTGTTGATTTTCGGGAATGCTAATCTCTATTCAGAGCATCCTGCCACATTTAATTTCAGGTCAGATTGGGATTTTATTCATTAGACTGACAATGTTTTCCAGAGCATCTTCTAATGAGCGTCTGTGAGGGGGCTCGGCGGCTTGTTCAAGGACACTAACAAGGCTGGTGATGGACACACATGGGCTGCTGCACAGATCAGACCTGGGCTTTTCTGGGGCATGTAAAGGCCTTTCTCTAACTGCTGCCACATCCTGAATAATGTGACATTTTGGTGGGAAATTGATATGACAACAACATGGGTGGGTTGATTTATAAAAATGGGATTCTGAATCTGAGAGGTTAGTGCTTGTTTTAACCACAGAGTATAGAAATGTTCCAACTCACATATGCAAAACAGTGCACCTAATATAATCTTTTTCTTTTGTTTGTTGTTTTTTTGTTTAGTGAGACAAAGACATGCTACCTCATGCAATGTTTGCGCTTTTCAAGCTGATTTCCTGATCCCGTTCCCACATTCTATGAATCACAGTTGTGTCTCAGTGTTTGCTGGGCAGCAGCTGTTCATTCTGGTGTCGTCGTTTTTGTTAAACGAAGAGATCAATATATCATGTTACCTTAAAGCAGCAGAGGAAGACTGGCGTACCAGATTTTACTCAGCTGTTTCACTTGACTTTATATTGAAAGGTGGCAATATGTTAAAAATTTATATTTTTGATTTGGTGAGGTTGTATCAGGTCAGCACAAGTGTCAAAATGTTCATCTTTTGATTAGGATGGTTAGAAAAGATTAAAAAGAGCTAAAACACTGATATTCTGTTGAAGGACATCTGTCGAGCCCCACTATGTTTATAATTTAGGTACAGTAATTGACTAATAAACATATTGGTAATGCACACACATTTCTAAACTTTGGAAACTGCAGCCCTCCTAAACTATATTTATGGAAGACCTTTTCTTACTCATTTGTTTACCTACAAACAAACAGCTTTCTTATTTTTTATGTATGATCCCCTTTAATCCGGCATCTACTGCTCTCTTACATCCTATAATTGCAGAACAGTGCAGGATGATTAGTAGCTTGACACCTGCATGATAACAGCTAGTATGTTCTGTTGTGGATTTTAGCTCTATATCTGTACTTATACGTCCCTTGCAGGCTGCCAGCTGAAAGGATGTCAGGACCATGATTGGTGGAAACAGCCAAAGCTTAAATAATCCAGATGGAATGAGCCATTTTCTGAAGACATCAATAAGTCATTGATTTTTTTGTCATATTGTGTTAAGGTGGAGGGACCACACATTGCTTTGAAGGACCAGTACAAGCAGAGATGGGACACACTCCCACTTGACAGGCCCATTTAATTAGCAGGTTCAGAATTAGGGCACGCTCACAATCTTCCCGCACACCACATCCATTACAGCATCGCCACGGCTACAAAAGGCAATTATGTCATCTTGCACTTAATGAGACCATGATGGAAGGAATTGATCGAAGGCTGCAGAGAGGGCGTCTGATAAGGCAACCGCCAGATTCTGTTGAATACATCAGAAACGGAGCTGAGCACATCGCTGAGTGCTGCGATCCATACTGAGCATCAATATTTCTGCTTTGGTCTCAGCTGAGAAGAAGAATGAATCTCACTCACAACACATGTACTGGGAGTGTGGGCAAGTGTAGCTTCAACTCCAATAACTCTACTTTCCATCCTCTGGCTGTGAGAGTGTATGGAAATAAAAAGTTTCACTTTTGATTTTTTTTTTTTTGTTTTTTTTTTTTTTTAAATCAAACAGCTCATTGTGTTGTTTCCTTTTTTTTATTGTTCAAGTGAGAGGTGTGATGTTCATATACTAGGGTGTTGGTATGGTTTCTGATGTGGGCAGGGCAGAATGAAAGCAAGGGACAAAACCAAAACTATGTGAATGTTTGGGGTTTTTTTTTAATATCAATCTAGCCAATAACACATACTTAACTGACATGACCACTGGTGGCTGGCTAACCTTGGCTAGGCGGCAGGTGGTGCTGATTTACACACCGTACTTTGACAACACAGGGTGGAGAAGCTGGAATAACAACAGGAGGGCTGTGGGCAGCTGAGAGACACAACGTCCTGTCCCACTGTCACTGGGTTTATCAGACAACATTTATTGTATAGTATTTATCTCATCTTTGTTTCTTGTTCTGGCACCCTTTCTCCATTATGTTCCTGATGTGCTGCACAGGAAAAGCAGCGTGTTAGCAGTGTAGCAACACTCAGCTGTTGACAGACAAAGCACTGTGTGTACAAAGTGCACGAAACATAAGCAGTTATGCAGCATGTGTAGGCTGCTATATTAATAGAAGTGTATCTGTTCTGTTAATGTTGTGGACATTATGAAAGTTACTAGTTATCTGAAGAATGAATAAACTCTGCCAGCATGGAGAAAGGCATCAGACACAACACTAAAACATCTCCTGTGTAGACGTCAGAGAGCTGTCAGCATTTTCCTGACAAAGTATCTCTACACTCTGTGCATTTATACCATTTCACAGAAAGAAGTACCACCTCTGCTGTCTAAAAGAAGACAGACACAATGTACATTCCAAATGTTACTCAGTCATCCTTAACTTGCTGTCTGTGTTTGTTGCCTCAGGCAGTTTTGCCAATAAACCCCTCAAGCTAATAAAACAATAAAACCCAGATGCTCTTTTCATCTTAACCATTCCTCTGAATAACTCGGCTTCCACTCATCTCTCTATCCCTGCCAGCACAGGAACAGGAACTTTCCCCTCTTCACTAAGCCTGCCTTTATTAGAGCATAAATATTACAACACCTGATATCTCAGATCTATTGCAACTTCCAACATTTACAGTGCAAGAGCCACATATCAGTATCTATTATACTCAGCTTTAATGTGTTTATTTCCCCCATTAGACACTTGTGAAACTGAAAACTGCAGATTTAACTATTTGGGTTTTTTTTCTGGAAAACATACATTTTTTTCTGGTTTATATCTAAGGAGCTTATTGTGAGGCAGCATGAGGCCCTGATGGACTCCTCCAATGAGAGCTGAAGGGCGGCCTGACAGATGACATAAAAGGGCAAAAAAAATATATAAAGCACTCACTGTTTCTTGATATTTACTGCTGCAACAATTGTAATGAGCATATAAATATATTTTATCAAAATAAGGGTAGAGACACACCGAGCCAGCATGAAAGAACTAGCAACGAATAGGCCGACGCCACCCGTCGACTTTGTCTGGGCCAGTTGAGTCAAAAAAGTAGCACTTCAACACACCACACAGACGACAGCCAGCAGCCAACTAGCATGCACGTTCTGTGCCTGCATGAGAAAAATAACTCCCCCTACCAGCAGGTGGCAGTATCTGTCTTCGTCATTTGAAAAGAAGAAGAGCTAGACAGTGGAAATACAAGCTGAAAACAAAGCAGCTTTCATACAACACAGCTGCAGTTTATAGCTGCTTCTAATTGAGAATATGTCTGATAGGAAGCTGCAAAGGACGCTGCTGTTCACTGCCCTTGGTCTTTTGATTGTGGAAGAAGAAAGGAGGTTGAACAGCCAATCAGAGAGGTCCAATGCCTATTCAACATGCCGAATCAGCCGAAAACTCGCCAACAGGGTCCGACTAGTGCCAACAGTGTGGGACACACCAGAAAGACGAGGGAGACCGACGCTCACCGATGATGTGTCACAAGCTTAACACACAAAGACCAAAAGAAAGTCCCTCACCTTCCTCAGCACCACGATGCCCTCCTGTGTGCTCCCATTCGTGGTGATGTCAAACATCCCAGGCCCATCGCTCCCGATGATCCTGTAGTCCATCTCTGCGTTCTCGCCTATGTCAGCATCGATGGCCCGGATCACTCCAAGCTCAGACCCGAGCTCGGTGGACTCGGGCACTCTGAACTCGTAGAGAGCTGCAGAGGAACAGTCCGTGGTCAATCAGAGCAACACTGTCAAGATGTTTGAAAATGTGTGTGACTGAGCCAGAGACTGAGTGTGTGAGCAGGGCCTCAACAGTCAAGGTCTTGTCCTTCATATTCCTTTTCATGGCCATCTCCATTCTTCCTCACAAAAATGCAGTTCATTTCAAAGTGAATCGGTGCTGCTAATGTTAACTAAAAGCCTAACTGAGAAGCATTGTCATCCCAAGTTTAATTTACAAACCCACAGAACAACACCCCTGAGCATTCTGTATGATCCTGGATCATGAAACAGGTAGTGGGTGAATCAGAGGGCGAGGTCAGGCAGACAATGAGTCGGAGCCAATCAGAGAGCGGCTAGACAAGGCCAGCCAGGAAGCCGGGGTGTGTGAAAAGCAGCAGCCGAGTGGGAGATTTAATGCTGCAACATTTGTAGCTGTGGAGCAGACATTTCATATGTGGTAAAACGTATTTCATTTGCAAAATAGACATTTGGCCTTTCACAAATTTGCTACAAGCCGTATTGACACTACTCAAAGTTTAGGATGTAACATAAATTCTGGGCCAGTTTGCTCAACATAAATTAATTGCTGCTTCTTCTTCCCTTTTTATTATTTAGAAAGATGATTTCCTGGTTTGAGGCGAATAAATTGATGGCTGCCTGCCGGCCATGGTGGCCCCGGCTGCATCTCGTATGCTTAAATAAATAGCTGGACTGCAGGAGGGAGCGGGCGTGATATACACACAGCCTGTGGAGACAAACAGCACTGACACACTAATAAAACATGCTGACACTGTTTTGGCAACGCCTGAGTCGGCAGGTCTCTGTGACGCCGACACTTGCCTCCACACAAACAGACACACACACTGAAAGCGATGCACCATGAGAAGGTTTCCCTAGGCTAACAGGTATTTAGCAATGGGTGGAAAGGAAGAGGCATCACTCCAACAGACAACAATGATATCGCTTCCTGACACTCTACCTCCTCTGGGTGTCCCATTACAATATCTCTTCCTCTTTCCCCCCTCTTTCAATCTTCCCCTCTATCTGCTCCCCTCCCATCACAGCCTGTCTTTCTGCCGTTCACCTCGCTCTCATCCTGTCACCTCCTTCATCCCTGTCGTATCCATCTCCCTCCCTCCTCTCACTGTTCATTCATTGTCGGTGGAGCTGGGATGACAGCTTCCGTCTCCCCCCTCTCCACGCCCAAAGCTGGTGGGAGGGTGGAGTGATAAATGTGGAGATGGCACGAGATCTGTGGTCGTGTGCTTGCATTGAGTTTGTGGAACTGCACACACGTCACCCACTCTACAGTTTCCTGTTAGTGAGTGGAAACATGACAACACCAGTAATCTGTCAACCTGATCTGGACAGGGCCCCCGTTTGCAAGGGAAGAAGTGAAGGGGGTGGGGGGGGGGGGCAGCAAGGATGATTGATGAGTGAGAGGGTAACAAAAAGAGAGAAATGCACCAAGGAGAGTTTGAGCACTAAATTGAGAACTTTGGTTTTATGGTGTAAAAGGCAGCAGAAGAAAGACTTAATAGCAGGAGAGAGACAAAGGAAGAGGAAGAGTCATGGAGATAAAACCCAGTGAATGTACCGTCTTCATTAAATAAAGATTACAGGGCTGATCTGATGCACTTTGCAGGACCCTCCGCTCTGTCATATGGCTCTGTATTTAATTATTTGCTGCCTATAAGACGCCCCCTCTTTAGTCACACAAAACCCAGAGCTCCCTGCAATAATCCAAATTCATTTTGAAACTGACACCAGATGGGGCTGCCTGTCTGGCACCAGCTCACACTGACAAGTGGTTTTCATTGGCCGAGGACTGGTCACTCACTGTGAGCGTGTGGGTGTCCAGAAGGCTGTACTCACTCTTGGTGAAGCGTGGCGGGTTGTCGTTCACGTCGGAGAGGGTGATGCTGACCGTCGTGGTTCCCGAGAGGCCGCCCATCTGTCCGGCCATGTCTTTAGCCTGGATGATGACCTGATAGTGTTGTTTGACTTCTCTGTCCATGCCAGGTAGGGCTGTCTTGACCAGGCCTTTGAAAAAATACAAGGATTTACATCCAGTCAAGTCAGTTTGTTTTGTTAAGGGCCTCAACATCCTGTAAATTATTTAGTTTTGATTTATTATGTCCCTGGTAGGCTAGCGGTTAAGGCGCAGTGCTCTTGCCGCTGCAGCTCGGGTTTGAATCAGGGTTGCGTCAGGAAGGGCATCCGGTGTAAAACATGTGCCAAATGTCAACATGCGAGTCGTCAGTGTGATGATTCGCTGTGGTGACCCCTAAACGGGAAAAACCAAAAGTGACTTTCTATGTGTTATTTTATTACATTAATAACTGAAAAACCGCTGAAAATCAGAGAAATACAAGCAAACACTAATAAAAAAAAACATTTGCAGCACCAAACTTCGAAAAATGTACTCACTTTATTTGCCAGCATGACTCTGGTGCATCAGAGGCTCATTTGCCAGTTTTTATCTTCACTGTCTGACTGAAAGCATTTTCAGTGGAGTGCTCAGCACAAGAGAACCTGGTCACCTCGTTGACCCGTTACACAGCAGTGTTATATTGGAGCAGTGCATGTAACACTTCAATGTGTGGGAACAGATCTGTTTAAACTTTTTCTCTTTTAAAAAGCAACTTATCCTTCTATGAAAACCAGTAAAAATATCACCCAATGGAATTAGAGCTAGTTTGGAAAGTTTTTCACCCTATTATTTTTCTAGCACCGGGGTTTTCAGCTGACTGGGGCCCAGGCACCACCGTGACTAAGAAGCAACATGAAGACCGCTGCTGTGTCGTGGCGAGACCAGGTGGTCACTACTTTAAACCTGAAAGTCACCTGGGCTTTTATGTTTTTTCAAGACTTTAGTTATTCTCAAACAATGATTAATACATGGAAATGTGTTTTAAACAAAATTAAAAAAAACCTGCAGTTCCCACAGTGAAGATATATTATTGAATGCAGGGTTTCCCCTTCCACAGAAAAGCATAGGTGCAGCACCTAAGTTGAATGAATGTACGGTATCGCTGAGCTAATCAAACGGCTGATTCGATATTTCTCTACTCAGTGCAGTAGTTACAGGGGCGGATCCAGAAAACTTTGGATGAGGTGGCCAGGCTGGGGCAGAGACTCCAAGAGGTGGCACATTTCAAATACATGTAAGAAGTTAATTAAATCCCTAGGTCTATGAAATAATAAATCAAACATTATTAAGAATGAAAAGACCACACTGAGCCATGAACCACGGGTTGAAAGCCTTGTTCTAACATATACAATCAGCTCCAAATTACATTAGATATATCTTTACAGTAAATGTTTGACCAGTTAATCAAAAAGATTCAGTGATAATGACAATTAGCTGAGGCACAAACACAGTGTGCACAGTGTAAGTGAATGCAGCACTACGCCAGTCATGTAACTACAGTTTGAACAGTAAAGTGTATGGACAGCTCCTCAACTCAGCGCTGAGTCATCTTTTAAACTATGCAAGCCTGGCAGGTTTGTATATAGTCTTCATAAAATCAGCTCACCAGAAGATATAAAAATAATAGACTGTTTCCACAGGTGGACTGTGTAAATCCGAAAATCAATGTGCTCACTTGAAACATTTCTAAAAAATAAACCTGTCTGCATCAGCTGTATTGAATTACTGAGATTTCTCTTTTTTTAAAACAGTGATACATCTACACACCAGATAATTCAACCAATAAGAACATTTTATTACTGAGCGTTCAAAATGCTCAGTACGTCCACCCAGGAGAATATTTTAGTATCAAATGTTCTAACGACCGAACCCGAAAGTGAACCAAATGGCCGATCCACCAAAACCAGAGTGAATTCCTTTAATTTTCCAATTGTAGTATCCACATCCAAAATGCATCTATCATCTCTTTGGAGTTAAGAATCCGTTAATGTTCAGCCTTTCAGGTGCTTGGACACGTTACAGTGGGTACGGAAAGTATTCAGACCCCCTTACATTTTTCACTGATGAGAATCATGAGGTCAAAAATTCTGTGTTTTTCTGTCAATATGGGGTGCTGTGTGTACATTAATGAGGAAAAAAATGAACTTAAATGATTTTAGCATATGGCTGCAATATAACAAAGAGTGAAAAATTAAGGGGGGTCTGAATACTTTCCGTACCCACTGTACATGTCTAGTCTTGAGTCAGGACAGAGCGATCGAAGTGGTGTGGAATCAGAGCTGCTCTTAAACCCTGCCTGCTATTACACATTTGAATTTGAAGCCTCCTAAAATAGAAGCCAGTGGGGGGTAAAGATGAAGAAAAATAAATTTCACCCTAAATAAACTGCTTTGACAAACTTCACCACTTTCAGCCTGAACAGATGATTCATGCGGTTGATCAAACAGTGAGGAAGAAGAGGCCGACGTGGCGCTCAGATCAAACTGGCCCGCAGTGTTCAAAAGGCCCTCCAACTTGCTCATTTCTTCCTCCCGTACATAACGTGGCAAAAACAAAATGTAATTTCTTTTTTTTTTCCTCTTCTTAATGATGTGCAATGCATCTCATGGACAACACGCTGTTAAGAGAACAGCGATCAGACCTTGTTGCAGAAAAAAAAAGCTGCTTCTCGCTCGCTCTGTATCTCTGTCTACCTTTGTTACTGCTTAATGACTACAACACACACAGAGGAGAAGAGGAGAAGCAAATCCTGTTTATAATGTGATGTCCAGGCATGTCTTTGTGTAACGGGGAATGTCAGCTTACATACGACGTGGGATAAACCATATTACTGTTAATCCCTCCACTAATCTGCAAATGGCTTCCCTTGTCATTTCCCTTTTGTTTAAGCATAAAAAAGACATGAACGGGTTGTGTTCCAAAGCGCACATTAATGATTAAAACCGGCAAGCAACTAGATTTCAGGGTTGTGATTTGCCACTCTCCCTGCTACAAATTTCTCTGGCCCGCCAGCCTCCAAAAGGGCAGACATGACGGTTCGATACTTTTGGTTTGGTTTGGAGTTGTTTTGTGATAAAGTGTATTAATTTACTTTCCTGGTAAAGCTCAGCTTGCCTCCTCTAGTTCTGCATCAAGTGATTTGTTACATTTCCCAGACAAAAGACGTGGATGTGATCAGCTGTGGGAAACATACAGTATGACCATGGAGAGTGCTATGACAGTGGTAGAGACAAAGAACCTTTCCATTGAAGAAGGACTCAAAGCAGCAGTGCACGCTGGTCTACTTGGGCTACACTCGGGCAAGAGAAATTATAATCTTTGCCTTTTCTATGATGGATTTCTTTTTGTATACCTGCTATATTTTGGTGCAAAACGTTGCCTCTGTAAAGAGCATTTGTCCAGCCCTAAGTCAAGGACACCTCAAAGTGAAGCAGGATTTTGAAGCATTACTTTAACCTTGTTTCATTTTTGTTTTGTTTTTACAGTTTGCTGTCAACCGATTTTGTCCTACAAAATTCTCAACTAGAAAATTGGTTTCTATTAGACACAATATTCACATTTTTCTCTTAAGAGAACTGTTTTTAGCACTCAGACAGAAATGACTTTTTACAGTGCAGATTTGAAATATTCTTTCTGCTCTAGCGGATTTTTTGTCGTCAGAATCGACTTGAGTTTTCTCGAGGTGAACTTGAGGCATCATTCTCTACGTTCATAAGAAAAGAACAACTAAATGGAGGCAGGGGCACAAAACACAACACACTGAGTGGATTGAAAGTATTTTCAGGTGCACTTTCCATTTGAGCCGACACTGACCGGTTTCTGGGTCTATGGAGAAGTACGGCTGGCCCTCCAGGATGCTGTACACCACCCTGGCGCTGTTTCCATACGTGGCGTCATCTGCATCTGTGGCAGTCACCTGAATTACAGAGGTGCCTGGGGGAAGAAGATTCATGACAATGATTTAGATCAGCTCTTCAATACTGCTGAAAATTGCCTGCTGGATAATTGGTTAAGCTGATGCACCTTCTGATGAGGTGTCAGATCCTCTTCTAATCATGCTCATGCAGAATGTGACTCATCATCTCAGTCCCTTCGCATTACCCAAACCAATCTTTATTCCTCAGCTACTTACACATGATTAATTTTCTTGAGCAATCGATAAGTTCTAATGCATCCTTCTAAGGCTCTGTGTCTGAGCGTATAAGCGGCCGAGATACCGGCTCTTTGCAAACCCCAAGAAGCCTGTTAGTGTATCCACGGATCTGGAGCATCTAAGGAGCCAGATATCTGATAGCAGGCTAAGGACTGTGATCCATTTCTTTTCCAGAGAGGCTGAAGCCCTATTTCAGTAGAACAAAGGGAAACGGCTAGCCAAGTGCTACCTCCCAGTGGCGCCTTGCGGGGCCAAGTGTTGCCTCATTACATGCAGAAGAAAATTAATTGAGTAGAAATATTTAATGGCAAAGCGGTATAAATATAGAATTGTGCAATACGAAGGGGTAACACCCCCACAAAACACTAATTTAATTTCAGCTGAGATATGTGAGGGTGAAATAAGTTCTGCTCCTTTTAAACCACTGTCATTTGTATGGATGAAAGACATCGTAGAAAAGGAAACTTAGGAGACCAAAAAGCAGAGAGAGGAAGACCACGGCTGTCTGAGTTGGTTTAAGTGACAGTTCTGGAGGATTCCTGAGCAAGTTCACCAAACCTTGATCACTAATACCTTAAACTAGGGAATTAGACTCAAAGAGGCTTTTCTGACATGGTGGCTTTTAAAAAATATCACTGATCCACATCAGCCATCTCATCGCTGATGTTAAGCTTTGGAGAAAAGAGTTTTTTGACAAACAAGTGCGGAATAATCGCAGCTTTTGTTCAGGGGGAGTAAATTACTCGACTGTAATCATTCACTTTTCAAAAAGTCATCCCTGACTGAGAGCCCAAGAGAAGAGACTATAATAAAACTCAAAGTGCATGTCACATTTAAAGCGGCAGTGTCTTGACGCAGTCACTCGTGAACACATGCTCTGCCAAGCAGTGACATCACACCTCGGTTGTTGCCATGGGCACCCATGCTGGCCTTAGATAAGTGCTGGCCTCCCTCTCGAGGTTGCTGAACCAAGTGACAACTCTGTCACATGTCTGGGCCGCAAGACCAAAGTCCCTCAGGCCCTGAGGCACCACAGTAGCAGAACAGCTCACTTCATGTTTTCATACTAGTATTGATTAGATGCCTTTTTTAAATTGATTATCTATATTCAAGCCAGTTTAACAGCTACAGCCAAAGCACATGGTGAATTAAAGTTTAATTTAGTGCTGAATGACAAGAACATATAATAAAACAAAAACAGCAAATGACACTGCCTCTGAAACTGGCAATGCAGAAGCAGCATCCAGAGTTATTTTCTGAGGACACGGCTAACAGTGCTGGTAATTAAATTAAGTTTTCTTTGAATAAGATGCGATATTGTCTTTAAAAGATAATCTACACTAGTGCTGGAATCGTCACCTTGTTTATTCTCTGGTCATTTTAGTCTTTCTTATTTAATTAGTTGGACACTCTTTGTTGAGTTGGCATCATTATTGTGATTGATAAGCCCGTTTAATCCGGCTCCTCGCACACACACACTTTCATTTGCGTAAACACTTAATTGTCTCTTGCATGACCAATAAATATGATTTTAAACAGAAACCTTTAGGCTGGCATCCCCAGTTAAATTCATGTGTGGGAAGTATTATCACATCTACAGGGGGACATGTGGATTGATTTTTGTAAAAGGCAGTTTTCATCTCCAGCTCAGTAAACAGGCAAAGAGAGCAGCTAAGCAAGGCCAGATTTACCAGTAATAAATATGGGTCCCAGTGCTAGTTATGACACAGACGAGGTTAATTATACATTTTCATATAAGGAACCAGTCTAGAACAAGAGAGCCAAGAATGAGGTAGAATAAAATTTAATTTGTTTGTTAGTTTGGGTTATTTTATAGGGACAATGCCTACATCCATTGATCAAAAGAAAACATAAAATGAGCTAATTAGGTAAGGAGGCCATTTTTTCTGCTTGTGCCGAGTCCCTGGGCAGGTTTTAAATAACACAACTAAAGTACAGTAAAAAAAATAAACATAAAGCAATAGTAACTATAAATTATAATAAAAATGGTAATAGCAGAGCACATCATTTATACAACAGTAAAAACACAATTTGTTATGGACTATAAAATGAACTGTCACAAAAATGTCAACATTTCAACACTACAGCCCAATATGGCTGCCATCCATATTGCAGTGCTAATAATTTTTCTAAAGTTTTTCCTGATGAAGGCAGTGAGAAGTACAGAAGAGGATCAGCACCACTGTAAAAAATGTATTTGAGTTCAGAATTTTTTTCTCAAATTTAAAATTCAGAGGAAAAAGTCAGATCTCAAAAAAAGTTTTTTTTTTTTTTTTTTTTTTTTTTTGCAGTGCAATCCAGTCACCAACTCTACGTGATTAAATGCACCATCCTAACATCACAGTCAACCAAATAAGACTTAAATTGTTATGGGGATAAATTAAAAATAGAAGAAAAAAATTAAACTCAAAAAAAAATTTTTTTTTTTTTTTTTTTTTTTTTTTTACAGTGGCCGTAATAGTCTTCCAGTAGAGGAGGCAATGAAAGCTGTAGAAAAGAAAGCACATGGCCTTTTTTTTTTTGCCAAACTCCTGTTTAAAGGGTCAGAGATGAACTTTGACATGCAATCAAACTGTTGTCCAGCGTAATTAAGCATAATTCCACATTTAACTAAATTATATCAAACAACAGTATATGATTATATCAATGTCAACAGGCATCACATTCTGGAAAAACCCATTTTAGTAGTTTTTACTTTTTCTGTATATATAAGACTTATTTTCATGATGTCATCCTGGTGGAAAATCTATGGCCCATATAGGACTGAGGAGGAAACACTGATGTGCATATGCAGTGGGCCTCACAGTGTAGAGGCAAATCCGGAAGACAAATCATTTATTTATTTATCTGCATATGCACCAGGCAAGCAGCACCTTTCACTGGGAAGAATGGGCACCATTTTGTAATCCACTACCCTATTCTCATAATACATCTGCCTCTGACTGGTTTCCAGGGCATTGTATATCATTTGCAGGTGTCAGGAAGCTGCTATCAAAACATGGGAAACTCGCACAGCTACAGGTAGAGATGTCTGTGATTACACTTCAAGTTGATAATACCATTATAATATCAATGTAGTGTAGCTTTATGCTCAGGATATGCAGCGTTCACACAGTTAGGCAGGAACTTACCGATGTCAGACATCTCGGGGACCATGGCCATGTATGGGTCTTTGGTGAACCGCGGCTCATTGTCATTGATGTCGTGGATCTTGATGATGAATTCGGACTCGCCTTCCAGAGCCTCGTTGGTGAAGCGGTTGACAGCTTTGGCATGGAGGATATAGTAGGCCTTCTCTTCTCTGTCCAGCCTCTTAGTGGCGTGGATGTCCCCAGACTTTTCGTCTATCTTGAAGAGGGTCCCCGCTCCTTCGCCTGTGAGGACGTACTTCACGCTTCCATCTCCTCGGTCAGAATCTGAGTGAAGCTGCAGAAAAACCAATAAATTAATAAAGTTTGGCAATATGGATGCCTTCAGCAGCCAAACAACAATTTCAAGCATCTGTTTGTGGCATTTTCCTTATAATAAATTTCCACTTTGCTGCTCTCTATTACTAATTGTTATAGCACCACAGTCATTCAAAGTCTGGTTTATGAAAGCTTTCACATTTGCTTAAATTGCTCTTGTGAAGACCAAGTATCAGCTCGCTCTTTCCAGGGAAAAATCTCCTTGTTAGTATGAGCAGAAATAGCCTCAGCTAACAGAAACTTAATCTGCATAAAGAGGAAAAACACATCACAGTGCTGGCTGCACCGGCTGACTGACAGGAGAGGTGAGGCTGAGAAGTGCAAGGTGTCAGCAAAATCAAATTTCAAAGCAGAATCGCAGTTTTCCACTTAAGTATTTCTGATACACTGTGCACATATCCGTGATCTGACCAATCTGGGCCTTGGCAGAGAAACACTGACAGCTTTGATAAGTGTGTTTGATGTTATTTAACAGATCCGTATCATCTTTAGTAAACTGTCACTGACAATACACATTTTGTGGCTTCATCTCATCTCTGAAAATCGCACCCTGCCAAGAAAGCGACACACAGACGGAGCATTGAAAATGTTGCATTTATTGCTATTGTTACACGCAAGTTGTCATCATCCCTTTTACCGCAGGGCCACAGTGGCATTTTCACAGTGCTGTAAAACTGAATGCCAGTGGGTCGAAGTGTGTGAAGTACCAGCGTGAGTGTGCTCATGTCCACTGTCTGCCAATCCCTGATGGATCGGCAACATCACCAATGTGCCAGAGAACCATGACTGTCCACTCGTCTATGGAGGTTCTCATTAGTATTTGCTCTCTCCCTCTCCTTCTCCTCTTCATTTTTTTCCTGCATGAACAGCAGCTTAGCATGCTCTGACATTTTAATTCCACCACAAAATCCCCCCCCAACATATTTATCTCAAAGAACTCATCAAAAGCTTGTCCGGTTGACTCCCACTGCTTCCCTGCCTAGTTGCTTTTTCCCCTATAATAACCAAGGGCATGGTAATAATGGCAGAGGGAGGTAAAGGGCAAAAGGAGGGCATGAGTTTGTGAGTACAAACCGAAGTGGACGCCATCTTTACCCTAATAAATGGGTGCTGGAACAAAATTCTGAGGTAGCTTCCTGACACCTGGCCAACACGTCTGATTTTGACACTTTCATCTGACCATGAGTTGCTGTGTCCAAGTGTTCTTGGCTCTGCTGGTGGACAGACTGAGGGGGGATACTGTGCGTGGCCGCAGGGTCACATGGGTGCACACTGTCGCCCTTCTCATAATATACTAAAAAGCTTTTCATCCCAGCTGCTCAGAAGCTGTTTTATCAATACATGTGTGAGATGAACAGCTTTGTGGATTAGCATCTTTAACACTGTTTTGTTCGCCTGCTTGAATGGTTTTAAAAATACTTTCATTCCTTTCTCTGATTGTCTACCTGGTCGAGTGTGCTGCAGAATTTTAGCATCTCCGGATTAGGATCGGGAGCGGAGCACTGTTTCCTTCATCCACTTGAATTCTGGTCATAGCAGCTCTTTTTTTTCTTATTCTCTGTCTAACCAAGCCAGGAGAATATCCTGCAGAATTTTATTTGTTTTCTGTTCTGCTTTACAGGCCGTGCTTCCAAACACAGAGTCAGTTGGCTGAAAACAATCCACTTCAATGTTATTATCTTTCTCCTGCTGTTAGAGCTGCAATGTCCTTTTCTATGATTGTCTATCAAGCTGCCTATCTCTGCCGGCACGACATTTCAGTTAATAACCATTGAGTCCTCTCCTTTTGGCTGAGATGTGAGATAGACAATGTGACATATTCTGTGTCAGCCGTCATTTCTATGGAAACAAAGATCTTGTGGTTCTGAAGAGTTCCTCCTCACTCTCCTGAAGGATATTACAAGGCAGCTCGGAGTATTGAGCTCCAGCACCTGCTCCAGTGACCCCGTCCCTCCCAGTTGCCCACCTTGCTGGTGAGAGAATTTACCGCTGGCCTTCTACTCAAAGTGGGGGTGGGGGTCCCAGAAATCAATGTGGCAGCCCAACGTGTATTCACCACAGCCCTTTGGTCAATTTATATTGAGAATACAATTAAACTGTCACAGGGGGAGAAAAGAAAGCCACATGTGCATTCAGCGTGGTCACCAAGAAGCGCTAGAACATCAATAGCTAGCCTTTTCTCCTCTGCCCTCCTCCGGTACCAAATTGTAAAAAAGGCAGAGAGCATGACACTATATCCATTAACACTGGGACTTCTGGTCTTTTTGAGAAGGAGGAGGATACTAGACAGCAAACCTCCATCTTACCAGGTCGCTCTGTCTATAATGGAGGCCTTATGTTCTCAAGAGAATAGGCAAACATTCAGAAAAAAAATATTTTCTGTCTTGCAAAGAGTTAGAAGAGCAAATTGTACCACTCATATATGTATGAAAAATATAAGGTTACAGCAAGCCGCCAGTTTGGTTTAGCCCAAAAGGTTTTGTTTTTACTTTGGCTTTAAAGGTGCCGATAACTGGATGAGCTGTTTACTTTCCAGTCTTTATGCTAAGCTACGATAGCAACAGCTTGATATGTTATCCAAACTGCGGAATCATCTTCTCATACACTACAACTCTTTGGCAAAAAGCAAGTAAGCCTATTTACCAAAATGTAATATTCCTCTAAAACAAGGAACTTAAACATTTGCAAGAGACAATCCAAAAAAGTCACTGCAATCAAATCAACACAAATAAAACCTGATATTAGAGAATACTAGGAAACAAGTAAAAATGCTGTATTTTCAGAAAATAAAGACTCAGTTACAAAAAAATTACTTGTAGTATTTATAGTATTTGATGTAAATCAGCTGTGAAGCAAACTATCAAGCATTTACTTAAGCCATTATATCATCCTCTCAATTAGCCTTCTCTGCCAAGTGATATCATAATATTTCCAATATTTAATGTTTACTTCTATTCCTACGCTCTTCATCTTCCAGTTTGAAGTGGGCTGCAAAGTGAAGTGGTACTCAGCAGACATCTGTGCTTGAAAACTTACAAGCGAGCTGTCTTTGTTTATGAAATTAATCAGCTTCAAGTGCAGCAAATGTTAGTGCAGACTCGATCTGGTCGCCATTTGTGCTTCACTCAAGTTAGGCCAAAAGATTGGCACTGGAAATGGACTGCTTAGGGCAATTAGCCAGTTAGCCTTTAAGGCCTTGTGTCCTGGCCCGTCGAGAACTGGCTGCCTTCTCTGTAGCCAGATGGTAGCCTCAGACCGCTCACAAAAATAGCATATCAAATGTCTGTTGATGTGTAAACTTGAGATATGCAGTCAGAGATGCAGAGACCTAAAGGTGAAATGCCAGTTTACATGTGTTTCTCTCTTGTGGACATCTTGTTGTGTGTCCCATGCATAATTTACATCATGTTCTCTCTCTCCTTATGGACCAGTCTCCCAGGTTGGTATTTATTTTAGGGGCTATTTGGTGTTTTTGATATAATCAATATCTTTAAATACAATTCTTTTTTTTTAATTCAAACAAATCTTTGCATTATTTTGGTCAATCAAGTTTTTCTGGACTTTCCTATGGCAAATGGTACTCTTTTCATTTTTTAAAGACACAAACATTAAATCGTTTGACATTTTTGAAAAAACTTCTTTTTGCTGGACAGAAGCTTAAATATTGTTCATGACTACGAAGATTTTTTTCAAGAAAAATTTGAGCACTCAAGATTTCAGTGTAAAAAATAAAATTAATACAAAATGCAAAAAGTGTTTAAAGGCTTTGAAACACTTAAAATGTACAGACAATATAAATGATAGCTAAAAAATACACAAGTATTTATAATTATCTCAAAGCTAGAGCTCAGTAGCTTGTCATATATTCCCCCCTTTGTGAAAACAACTTGACCAACTAAATACTGGAAAACCAGACTGGTGACTGAAAATAAATTCATCTCATCCTGACCAAGCTGACGGGTGTCTGAAACTGCAGCAGACAGGAGGGAAACAACTGCAAAGTGCCACAGCGATGCCAGCGTATCTCGCTCAGACATCGCTTCATCCCTGCAACATTGTGAGACAGATGTTTGCAGGGTCTCGTCGCCACACGACCTCATCAGACTCTTTCCTCCGCCGCTCATGCTGAGAAGCAGAGGGGCTTAATTGAAACCGCCTTCTCCCAAAACACAAGCGGGATCTTATCGCCTAATCAACAAACACTAGCGATGTGTGCTCCAGGTGGCCGCTGGAGACCGCGGAGGTTGCCATGGTGTGGGTACAGCCAGGTCTATGCCATACTACAAACTCCTCGCTTCTCTGCCAAGGTGAGCAGCTGGTAATAGGGGAGCACGAACAGAGGCCCAACATCACCCCACCCCCCAAAAACAAACACACAAATCCCTGCACCTTCCACTCTGCTGCCATAAGACGCCGCCGTCC